CTGATGGGAAATCGGTCGTTGTGCATGTAAATAACCTGAAAACCTGTCACCAGGGCTGGTAAAAAAGCAAATTGCGTCCCCGACCAAAAAATGAGAGCGAAAAATGACCCCGACCTTTTTACGATTCATGTATGCAGGCTGCATGCAACTACGATGCGCGTTTCCTTAGGTTTCATTTCTATATTATTTTTTTACGAGCAGTCATATGTGCTAAATTGCTTATCAGACTCGCGCTTCGAAATTTCCAGTTTGTTAATTAGATGTCACGGCATCACTCGGTCAGCGGGTAGCGTAACAGACGAAGAACCCGGAAAGGGTAGGGGGCGCTACGATCGTCGAACAGATGCAATAGGTGTCGCTATTGTATCGGTAGCTCACAACGACGACGGCTAGAAACTATCGACCCCGCATGAATTTACCATGTCCAACCGGTCCGACCCCGGTTCCGAATCTAGTCGTTTGTCTAGTCGTATAGCTGGCTACAACTGGTCGTCAATCAACCCCGCTTGAAATAGCACAGCCGACAGCGGGGTCGGTGTCTAAGCGTCTGTTAGTATGTGTTTGATCATCTAGTTTGATCTAGTTTTTGTTAGCAACTGTCGACGGTAGTTTTGCTGTTAACGGAAGTGAGTTGTGGCTACTAATTGTTCATAACCATGTTGTAGGTATGTATTAGGTATAGGGGCTTTTTATGTCCTTGTTAAAGGGGATATACCTACGTTGTGGATTCAATGATATCTTTTACTCGCGTTTAGTTTCTGCTTTATTTGAAACTTATTTATTACTGTAAAAGTTTACTAAATGTGGTAATTTTGACCCCGGGTACTTGAACTTTTACTGGTACTGTGTCCCCGACGACGTCAATAGGACATAACACTTTACCAGCCCTGCCTGTCACGTACCGCATGTCGCTGGACGCGGTGTCATTCGTACGAGAGGCAGGCCGCCGCTGAAGACGCAGTAGGCATAGTGTCTGTGTCTCCGTGCTCGTGCCTCAAGTGTCATTAGAAGCTTGTTTTTTTTGTGGGGGGGAGGTGTGTGTTGAACTTGGTGGGGAGGTGTAGCGCGTAGTGCGCTTACGTCATGTGCCTACCTCGCCCGGTCGCCACTAGAGGCGCTTGTGTTGAAATACAGTCAGTTGACCGCTACAAAATGTAATTTTTATCAAAATCGATCGATGGCCTTTTTTGAAAATTGCGTTTTTGTAAAAACTTAATAATCTTCTATTCAACGGGCTGTCCCGGACATTCTTGAAAACATAAGCATGTATTTTTGAGTTCCAGTGAAAGCTGAACGCCAAAAGAACAATATTTAGCGAAGCAATATTTCCAAACATTAATATGCGTCTCTCACAGCCGATAATAAGGCGCAATCACACAGCTCAGTGTCACGATGGACCAAAGTCAGCCACACAGAAGCGTGAAATGACCCTTATCGACTCGCAGACCCGGCGCTCTCGGCCCGCCTGACCGGCCACGGAAAGGACGTTCGGCTCTCGTTCTACTAAACAAATGTCATATTTGTCAGTTTAACTGTCCATATCGCTATTAAAGTTATTCAGGATACCTGTGAAGAAAAATCATTGTTCTGCTTGATTTACAACATGCTTTAATTTACATTTTTCTTTTACATGTTTTGTTCCATCCAGCTGCGATCAGTGCCCGCGCAGGGGAAGTGAGCGGGGTTTCACTGTCAGAGGCTGTACTGGTGACAGCTGCTCGGCCGTGCGACCGGTCAAAGGTTACCCTGCCCCGCCGGGCGCTACCCCCACTCCACCCGAGCTGAGGCCGGTGCAGCCTCTGACATTTCAGCGCGGCCAATTTTCCTTATATGGGCATGATGCCAAGCTCGATTGAGCAAAGGAGACATGAACAAATGAAGATTAATGCATGATGTGAAGATGACAGAACAACGAGTTTTCTTCACAGGTATCCTGAATAACTTTAATAGCGATGTGGACAGTTAAACTGACAAATATGACATTTGTTTAGTAGAACGAGAGCCGAACGTTCTTTCCGTGGCCGGTCAGGCGGGCCGAGAGCGCCGGGTCTGCGAGTCGATAAGGGCCATTTCACGCTTCTGTGTGGCTGACTTTGGTCCATCGTGACACTGAGCTGTGTGATTGCGCCTTATTGTCGGCTGTGGGAGACGCATATTAATGTTTGGAAATATTGCTTCGCTAAATATTGTTTTTTTGGCGTTCAGCTTTCACTGGAACTTAAAAAATACATGTTTATGTTTTCAAGAATGTCTGGGACAGCCCGTTTAATAAAATATTATTAAGTTTTTACAAAAACGCAATTTTCAAAAAAGGCCATCGATCGATTTTGATAAAAATTACATTTTTGGATTCAGCTCACCGTCAGCTTTCGAATGGTAGGGTAGAGTGGGGCAAAGGGCCCAGGGCGGGTCAAACGCCCACCCCTCTTTTTTATGAAGTGCTCGACTTTTCGAAGAATTCTCGATAGCCATTTTCAAGAACGAGCAGGAATCTACTTTTGCCCCCTTTTTCGGATCTACAAGTGGGTTGTTCTGGACGTAAGATAAAGATTAGTTTATTTCAGACAATTTTTAGATATTACATGTTTTCATACTACTAAAACTTTGTCTGACAGAGATTAAAGTAGGCAATGAAATTTAGCTACGCAGAACCTGCGGATTTAAGCTACGTTTTGAGCATTTACTGGTTTGCAACACAATCGTCACACGCTTAATTTTGGTGGACTTCGTTTTGAATGTGCTGTTGGGGTAATACGCCCACTTTGGTGTGGGACAAAACGCCCATCATGGGCGTTTTACCCCTAATGGGAGTTATACAGTACGGGTATTTGCGAACATTTTTGGCTGAATTGTCGGGATACGTTTCTACTGCTCAGGATTCTTATGAAATATGCAATATACTGGTTAGTATCGCCTGGAACAATTTATTCGCACGAACTAATCTCCGCTCTTTAAGGCCGTGACAGCCCGTTGACTGAATGAGGAGTGGGGTGGTAACAACAGTGTTCAAGATGTGTTTGGTGGTGTAATCTATTGATTTAAAGTCAAACGAAATGAGAATGGATAAATACTGCATTCTTTTGTCAGAGTACCGAGCGTGTAATGAAACGTTCAGGACTGGGCGTTATGCCCCACTCATATGAGCGTTATGCCCCATGGGTGGGGCAAAACGCCCGATTTGTAGTCCTCTCAATTCGGATGGCATATCTCAAAAACCATGCATGCCACTTGTTTCTGATGTGTTATTCGAAGAAAGCCAAGGTAATGAGCTACCAGATCAGCTACCTAGTTGTCTTTCAAATTTGTAAGATAAAGAGATACTGGGGCTGGAAAGTTAGGGTGGGCGCTTTGCCCCACTCTACCCTATATACCGTTTCTTTTGAGCCTGAGATGACCTTCCGACGAACCGTGCCCTCAGGTCAACTTTCTGTAATACCTACCAATGCAGACGTGGACGTATGCGCGGTCCGAAAATGTTGCAACCTTCCAACGATCTTGCAGTGCCACGATAATCTTCATTAGGAGATAACACTTTCAGGAAGTACCAAGATCCAAAGTGCTTCTTTCTTGTTCCCAAGTGCTCTTTTTTCGGCCACCTAACCCTCGCGGGCCGGGGCCCGGGACGAATACCTATTTGCGATAGCTCCCGACCGCTAAGGGATAGAAGCACCGAACCTTCAGTACCTCTTTCCCCATCAATTTCACATCTCCTGCAGTAAGAAATTTGAACCCAGCCCCCTTGACGACGTCACAGGCTCGATTTTCCAAGACCTCTGCACGACAAATTTCGACGTCACAGACGTGAAATTCAAACGGCTGCCAAAAATAGAGTTTTAGAGATAAAGGCAAATTCGAGCACGGTTGTGTAGCATGCCTATGACTTCGGTAAAAATTCAAAAATAATTTTGGTGACCTGAGGTCAGAGTTCCAATACATAACCAGTGCTTCGACAGCCGATAGGTTCAGCGAGGGGCTAAGCGAGTTGGAGATCCATTCTCCCTCCCTATGTTTTCAAGGACGGCCAAATGCAGGTCCCGATGAGGTTAAAATGCTGCCATTGCAGGCAGGCGGCTGCGTTTACCATCCACTCGACATTGTCCCCAGACCCCATGAGTGCGGCAGTCCTTCCAGCGGACGGGGGTTATCGGTCGGACTCGGTAGTCACGGGCAGCCGATACGGCTAATGCACCGGGCGGGTACTGTTTGAAGACAGAGATTAGGGGGTGGCTGCTCAGCTCCCGCGGCGGTCGGGTCACCGTACGGAGTACGGGCGTCCCGGAGTGCTCCTGGCAGCTGATAACGCCGCTAATAACACCGTGTGTAGTTGGAGTGGGTGAGGGTGGGTGGGTGTAAATACGTGTGGGCTGGGAGGAGGAGTAGGTATGTGTGTACTGCACTCTGTGTACTGCGCATTGTCAATGCCCCGTACTCAGCATGCGTTTCGTGTGAACCGTCGTAACGAGTTTGCTTTTATAAGCATGCTTGTAGTGATGATGGAGAGATGATTTTTGACGTCGTAGATGTTTGTCACCAGGCTAGTTACACTGCATCTCTCTCTCTCTCTCTCTCTCTCTCTCTCTCTCTCTCTCTCTCTCTCTCTCTCTCTCTCTCTCTCTCCTCTCTCTCTCTCTCTCTCTCTCTCTCTCTCTCTCTCTCTCTCTCTCTCTCTCTCTCTCTCTCTCTCTCTCTCTCTCTCTCTCTCTCTCTCTCTCTCTCTCTCTCTCTCTCTCTCTCTCTCTCTCTCTCTCTCTCTCTCTCTCTCTCTCTCTCTCTCTCTCTCTCTCTCTCTCTCTCTCTCTCGGCTATCCGAAATTTTAAAACGAACTTCAAAGTTTGGCATTTCCTATTTATAGAAAATCATCCGTAAAAAATAAAATAGGAAGGGCAGCAAACAAGGTTACAGCTGTTGGTAACAAGGTGAGCACTGACCAGGTGATAGACGCTGGTGCCTGATGTGCTCCATTCGGGGTTTCTTTTCTGACCGGTGGGGCCGCCCCCAGGACTCGGGCCGGGCAGTGTGCCGACCGGCGGCCGTTTGCGCTGTGGTGCAGACCAACGCCTGGGGCGTCAGCCGGCAGGAGCTGTGCCGGTGTCCGGGCCGCCAGCGGTGCCCACTGCACTGGGACAATGAGGACGGCCACTCGATGACACACGGCTCCAGCCAGTACAAGGTGAGGTGGCAAGCCGGGGCGACTGCCTGTCACACCCGTCTGATGACTTACATGCGCATGTACCGCACGCATGTTGTGTCGCCATTACCCATTCATCGAAGGATGTATGTAGCAGCAACTTATCACTTCCCTTTTATTGTTTCTTTATTTCTGTCGAGTTTAATTGTAACTCCAAATATAATCATCCCGGATCCCGACGATCAGCGCTGCCTACCAGCAGCCTGCTTTCGATAGACTACGGGATCGCGCGTTGCAGAACTTTAATTATTGATTTCTAGTTGCGTTATCTGGCATCTGAAATGACTTGTCAAAATATGTTAAAAATTTATTTCAACTACATTTCAAAAAGTTTCTAAATTAATCTTAAAATATTGACGCTTTATGTCAATATTTGAGTCGTCCCCTGACCGCCGGCCGGAACGGACGTGTCCCCTGCCCCTCCGTGCCTGGACCCAGTGCGCCGCGACCCTTCCAGTGATTAGTTCTAACTAAGGGAGCCAGGCGGCGGGTGGTGAGATACTATGGCTGACATGGCTGAAATCGATATTAAGGAAGAAGCCAAGAAAATCTTAAGTGAATTTGAATTCGTCCAACGACTCCAGGACCTGGTAACGGAAGCCGTTGCTCAAGCAATCAACCGGGTCAATGAAGCGGCTGAAGCCCGAATAGCGTCGCTCGAGACTGAGCTGTCTTCCACCAAAAACAGGCTCGAGGAAGCTGAGCGGCGCATCGAAGATCTGGATGCGTACAACCGTCGCACCAGCCTGCTGATCACCGGGGTGCCGGAGACGAGCGGTGAGGCGACAGACAACCTGGTGCTGGACGTCGGCCGGGCTGCCGGTCTCAATCTGACGGCCGACAACCTGGACCGGTCCCACCGCCTTGGACGTCCACAGCCAGGCAAGGTACGGCCCATCATCGCCAAATTCGCCACAACAAACGCTCGACAAAAACTATTCGATAAGCGAAAGGAGCTGACGGCTGAAAAGGTGGGTGGCCATCCGGTGCTGACCCGGTCAGTAATTAGCCGCATCTTTGTGTCAGAGTGCCTTACAGCTAAGAACCAGCACCTATTCTTCTTGGCTAGGCAGCTCCGGAAACGAAAGTCTCTGTGGGCCGCCTACACGACCAACGGCTGTGTGCGCGTGAAGAAGACAGAGGGAGACATTGCAGTCTCAATCAAAGAGCCAGCTGACCTTGAAGATATCGTGGGAGCCGACGCTTTCCGGGAACTCCGACCACGGGAGACCGAGCCAGCCCGCTCGGCGCGCCGCGGGTCGGGGCCCGCCTGGCAGGCCGCTGACGCCATCAACGCGTGGGTGACCGAGCGCCGCCGCGGGAGGTCCCCCGCCGTTCGGGGCGACTGAGGGGACGGCCCCCGCCGCTGAGCTAACCAGCCGACCATCGAAGGCATTATAAGGACGGTCTGCGCAGCTGCGCAAATACTCGGACTCAGGCAACACCTCATCAATCAGCTGCTCGCCCCGCCGTCTCTGACAGTGGGCGTGTCGACAGGGAACGATTCCCGAGCGGTGACCGTTAGGCGAGCCGGGCCTACGCTGTGAATAGTGACACCCCATCTCCCAGACGGGCCGGCACCCCCCCCCCCCCCGCCCTCCCGGCTGGGGCTGGGTTTCCGGTGCCGGTTCGTACAGCGCCGGCCGTACATGCGTCCAGTGTTAAACATAACCAAATCACCTTACATGACCTTGTGTATATTGCATATTGCCCATCATATATTGTCTTGTGCTCAGTGTGATATGATTTCCCACCTGACAACGATGCACGAGTTAACGATAGCTGTGCCCAGTCGTCGTATGTCATTTTTTTATATGCTTTAACGTTTCGGAGCTATCAATGTCTATCATCTCCGCTTTCTCGACGCATAGAGACGAAAGTATGCGGATGTACTTGCTCATCTCTCAAAATCAGTGTCATCTTGCCAAAAGTTCAGCCATAGCCCACATTGCACATTGTTTTATGTAAACTGTTCTCTCGCCACCCGCCGCCAGTCGAAGCGCCTTCCCCGTGCCCACAATGCCACCAGTAACTGGTACGCTCCGAAGCGATGGTGTTAACATCTCCGCAATTAATATCAACTCCATCACTGCCAACGAAAGGCTACAGGAGCTTCAAAGCTACGTTGACATTAACGATATTAGCATACTAGCACTATCTGAAACAAAACTTGACACCACTATACATTCCAGTCTTTACTCTCTGAAAGGTTTTCATGCGCCATTACTAAAAAACAGGACAAGGAAGGGCGGAGGAGTTGCAGTATATGTCAGAGACACACTACCTTTTTCGCAAATATCACATCTTGAGTGTGAGCTCTTTGAAACCCTATGGGTGAAAATCAAATTCCATAAAACGACGCTGCTGCTCTGCTCAGTTTATCTTCCACCGAACACCACTAGCGACCGACAATCTCAATTCCTAGATTACTTGTCTGACTGTGTCCTTGAAGCTAAACAGCATAGTCCCGATCTTCTGGTCCTCGTTGGCGATTTTAATGCTGGAAACTGCTGGCTGCCTAGTAATTCACCCAACCACTCCCCCATCACCACTTTCGAAAACAAACTGAAAAATATCACTGAAGCGTCAAACTTAACTCAAATTATTAACACAGCAACCCGCGTACAAGGGGACACCCACAACTTAAGAGATTTGATATTTGTAGACCGAACCGAACTAATTAAATCTTCAGGAGTTTTACCGGCTTTCTCAAACATCGACCATTTCCCTCTACTTATTTCTTTGTCCCTTCAGAAAATCGACGCTGACCGACATGTAACAACAACCCGCTGGGACTACTCAAATACCAACGTTGACGGTTTCATTAATACACTGAGAAACATAGACTGGAGCGCCATAACAAATGCCGACACCGATGATGCAATTGAAATGTTAACAGAAGCCATCTTGCATACTGCAGTAGCTCACATACCAAAGAAAACCGTAAAGATCCGCAATCACAAACCGTGGCTAACAGCAGAGCTGAGGCGCGAAATGCGTAAACGAGACCGGTTATTCAAGCTTGCTCAACGTCACAACTCAGAAAGAGATTGGTCGATCTGGCGATCTCAGCGCAACCTTGTAACCAGCCTTAATAGAAAACTCAAAAATGAAACCATTAAACACAAAGTACATCTAATTGTCACTAGCAAGAAAACCCCTTACAAATACCACAAAATCCTGAAAAGCGTTACGGGGTTCAAGCAAAACTCCATTATGGCTCCTCTGATTGTCGAAAATGATCTTGTAAGTGACGACCACCGCAAGGCCGAGGCCCTCAATTCGTACTTTTGTTCCCAGACAGAAATAAACATTACAGATAAACACTTACAGCTCGTACGCGAATACAAATCTTCATATAACAGCACTCAGCACACCTTCCAGTTTTCTCCCATTACACCTCGAGATGTTTTGAAGACCATCAATGGGCTGGATTCGTCTAAAGCCACCGGCTCCGACGGCGTACCGACGAAACTAATCAAAATGTCAGCGGCTTACATTGCTGAGCCTCTATCCAGAATCTTAAACAAATCAGTCCAAAAAGGCAGGTACCCAACTCAGTGGAAGAAAGCCACAGTTAAACCAATTTTTAAAGGGAAGGGCTCCCCATCTGAGGCTGCATCATATCGACCAATAAGCTTACTGCCTTGTCTATCGAAAATATTCGAAAAACTTATGTTCACTCAGATATATGAGCACATTCACAGTCATTCGCTCTTAACACAAAAACAAAGTGGTTATCGCCCTGGTCACAACACAGAGCTCCAGCTTGCTTATCTAACTCACAGGCTATATAGAGCCATGGACTCGGGTGAGGATTACACAATCATTTACCTGGATATATCAAGATATTTCGAAAAGATTTGGCATGAGGGGCTGCTAGCAAAATGTGATAAAGAATTTGGTATAAGAGGTGCACAACTTGATTGGCTAAACTCTTATCTAAGTGACAGGAGACAAGTAGTCCAGCTAGGCCAAACTACGTCCACCCAGCGTGAGTTATCCGCAGGAGTGCCACAGGGATCCATCCTAGGTCCACTGCTGGCCATAATGTATCTAAATGGGCTCAGTAGCGTTACCAACAATGAAATGCTATTTTTTGCGGATGACAGCTCCTTACATGCCAGTCACAATGTTAATAATTTTCATGAAGTTGAAAAATCACTGCAAATCGACTTAAATCGCATCAAACGCTATGGAGACGACTGGATAATAACATTTAATGCTACAAAAACAGTCCAACAAACGCTTAGTAACAAAAAAACACACATTCCGTGCCTGGAATTTGGCGGTTCACCAATTCCCATTCGCGATTCCCACAAACACCTTGGAGTAACAATCTCAACTGATCTGAGATTCAAGTCTCACGTCAACAACATCCTATCAAAATTTTACCGCACGATGAGTCCTCTCTTCCCAATAGCATCTCTACTTCCACGACAAATCTTACTTCAAATCTATCAAATGTATGTCCAGCCCCATCTCGACTACTGCGACTCAATATTTGATTGCCATCTGACAGCATTTGACAAGTCCCGACTAGAGAAAGCACAGAACAGGGCGGCACGCCTTATCACTGACACACCTCGAAGGACGTCTACAGCGGGCCTCCGGAAAGAGCTGGGCTGGACCTCACTAGTAGACAGACGTCGCGCCCACAAAGTGCAACTCTATCACAAGATAGCATTAGATGATCGTGTTCCGGACTTCATAAAAGACATCATACCCAAAACGAGAAACCTAGAGATGGAGAGAAATCTGCGATGCACACAGTCCACTCAACGCACCATCCCAGCAGTCCGCTCAGCTTCCTACGCGAGATCTATCATCCCAACAACAACAAGAATCTGGAACGAACTACCCAACGACTTACGAGCCGAACACAGCCAAAAATTCTTCAAAAAGAGGCTGTATGCATATGCCGGTATAAACATGTCACCTAGCTCCTACCTAAGCACAGGTTCCAAAATTGGAAACCGGCTTCACACCCGACTCAGGCTTAATTCATCAGATCTTAAAGACCACAGATTCAAATTAGGGAAAAGTGATTCAGCCAAGTGCAGTTGTGGTGCTGCTACAGAAAACAACGAGCATTTCCTCCTAATCTGTCCACTCTTTCGCACAGAACGAGAAGAATTGTTCGAAAGGTTAACTGAAATTCTCAGTGAGAACTTTCAAAACATTCCTCGGAAAAAGAAAATAGAAACACTGCTAAATGGGCCTTCGCGAGTTATAAAGGTTACCCGCCATGACACCGCCATGGCCGTCCAGAGCTATATACTCAAAACGCGGAGATTTGCCTGCTAGAACTAGGAGCAGCACTTCCATTTCGGAATACAGAGCAATGGCGCGAGTAGGGGCGGGGACAGGCGCTTCGGCCAAGGCAGGGTCGACTTCGCTATGTTAATATTGACATTTTGATTAAGATCAGTAGTGATTAGTAGTGTTCGATTAGAAGTGTTATTGTCTGCTTTCTACGTGTTTCGAGCGGCGTCTCGTTTTAAGCGCCATAGCGCTTCTACGCCAATCGTAATGTTTCGACAAGTGTAAATATGGATGCTCAAATAAATCATCTCTCATCTCATCTCATCTCATGTCTCTGAATGGACCCAGAGCCTGCCAATAAAGGGATCTCTTTCTCTCTCTCTCTCTCTCTCTCTCTCTCTCTCTCTCTCTCTCTCTCTCTCTCTCTCTCTCTCTCTCTCTCTCTCTCTCTCTCTCTCTCTCTCTCTCTCTCTCTCTCTCTCTCTCTCTCTCTCTCTCTCTCTCTCTCTCTCTCTCTCTCTCTCTCTCTCTCTCTCTCTCTCTCTCTCTCTCTCTCTCTCTCTCTCTCTCTCCTTCTGAATATCTGCTGGCATGAAAGTGAATTATGCAGGTATTCGTGCCCTATTGGCCAGTCATCTCTCTAGTCTCGCCCTTGGCACTATATAATTGGTCGAGGCAAGATGACACACGGGTTGTTGCGGCCGGCTCCTCGGCCCGGCCGTTGCCGACCGCCGACGCTGACCGGTCATAGGCATGCCGGCCAGCGATGAGTCAACAATTAGGTACCGTAGTGTCTCGCCACGCAGCCATCATCGACCAGTACTAACCCCATTGCTGCGGGCGGTGCAGTTTTGTCAGCAGGCGCCGGCCCTGGCGCCGTGCGCGGAGGGGCAGCTGGCCATGACGGACGAGCTGGTGACCTACCTCGACCCCGGCACGCCGATGGAGCACCACGAGCAGCTGCACTGCCGCTGTTCGGCCGGCCGCCGGCTGCTGCAGACCGACTTCCAGTGGCGAGAGCTGCCCGACGGGGAGCTCATCCAAACAGAGCACAGCTGTGTGCAGGTGGGATAGCCCGGCGCGCGCGGCAACCCCCTGAAAGTGTGCTCGGAATGTTTGGATCCGTGATTCAACATGATTGTGATTAAATACGACGCATGATAAAGTGCGAGATGGTCGTGTGCTTCTAGCAAGAGGCAGGCCCATTGCTCGCCACTTCTAGGCCTGTTATTTTTAGCTGCTTAAGTGAAGGGGCGTGACGTGTCCTCTGCTCTGTGAGATCTGCGGCCTGCGCCGCTGAGTTCCGTGACGCTCTGCTGCAGATGCCGGTGTGCCGACCGGGTCAGCACTGCAAGTTCATCACGCGCACTCCACAGTCGAGTCTGGTGCAGGTGAACTGCGCGTGCGCCGGTCGCCTCAGCTGTCCGTCGGCCACGGACAGCCAGGTGCTGCGGGTGCCGATCGGCAGCGGCTTCCTCGTCTCGGTCCTCTGTCGGTAGTCCTCTGTCGGTAGTCCTCGGTCGGTAGTCCTCTGTCGGTAGTCCTCTGTCGGTAGTCCTCGTCGGTAGTCCTCTGTCGTCTTGGCCCGCCAGCTCCACCGACAGAGAGACTAACTCGCCGCCGGCAGAAGGCAACTGTGTGATGTAGCGATCTATTCTGTTCCAAACGCACCGGTCGAGAATAAAACAACGTGAACGAAACGAACTGACATCTTTGAAAACTAAACTCGTCTTTGCGTCTACTGCACTCGCCGTCTTTGATGTATCCGTTCCCCTGTCTTCGGTAGTCCCGCTTTCTTGCTTCACCGCACTTCCCGATGCTAGTCCACTCGCTGGAACCAGTGACCAGGGTTGGCAGCCTGGCCATGGGAATTCGGCAGAAAGGTGTAGGTATGTGATATGATATGCCTATGCATTTCTATTAAATGGGAGAATAACTATGTATATGGAAGCGGAAGTTGACAAAAACAGGGTATGAAGTACGGCCCTGCAGCTACCAATAGCTCCCTCCACCTATTCCCAGTGCGGCAGAACAATTACCCAGTGGACCCTATCTTATGTTGTGACCTATGATCGGGAGGATGCCACGTTACGTAGTTAGGACTTAAGAGCTGACATCTTCAATAGCCGAATTGAAACATGTCGTAATCTGAGACCGTTCACATACAGCCACATTTTGCAGCTAACCAGTTTTAAGAACTACGTAAGCCAGTGTTAGATGGGTGTGGTGGTCAATGGTACCGCACATCAACTATCGACCCAAACACTTGGCAAACTTGTCAAATAACCCCAACCCTACGGCATAAAATAAAAAGGGCTCTAAGTAGCGGGAGCTAAAGTTAACTTATTTTTATTTTTGCCGAATAACTGCAGGAGCAACAGCCTGAACCCAGCAGAAAGTCTGTAACAAAGTTCACAGCACAGAATGATAACACCTATGTGTTTTCCCAATTATCATACGTGAGACACATCGAATCGTCGAAGACGCAGCGGGGCCGGAGGCTAGCGACGCCTGTCGGCAGAGGCGCAAACCTTCGTGCACCGCGGTGCAGCCTACCCTCCAGGCAGCGAACAAGTAGTGACATCTAGTGAGAAGCAGCACAACAAAACGATCGAACAGCTGAGTTACAGCCCCCAGGCTTTATCTAGCCCCGCGTTCGATGTCTCTCGGACGACGAAGATTCTACGCCGTCCGGCCAATCACGTTCCATAATTTCAGCCAAGCCCCCGCTGACCTTGAACGGGATTGGCCGGACGACGTAGAATCTTCGTCATCCGAGAGACATCGAACGCGGGGTAGATTCAGTTGCGGTTATTTACCCCGCGTTCGATGTCTCTCGGACGACGAAGATTATATTTCGTCCGGCCAATCCCGTTCCAAAACCGCAGCCGAGCCCCCGCTGACCTCGAACGGGATTGGCCGGATGGCGGAGAATCTTCGTCGGCCGAGAGACATCGTACGCAGCGTTAATCTCATATGCTTATATTTTTACATTTCACAAGGAATAAGCAAGAGTTGTCGGAACCAACAGTTCTGGCCGCAGTCGGAGTCGACACCGCCTGGCCGTTTTCGCTATTCGCATTTGCTTCCGCATTGTAACGGCGGCCGGTTTCGCGTGCTGGGTCGGGCACGGCCGACGTGAGTCTGACCCGCGAAGAAAAGACATTGAGACGGTTGTATTTTCTTGTAGACAGTGGAGCAGAGCGAAGACATAAGTTGAACTTGTAGGCGCAGACAGTCAATGAGCCATGCCGGTCAGAAGAGTCGAGTTTCACAAGATAGTGAGCAGTTGGAGAGCCAGCCGGAGACTGACTCTGGACTGGTGGGAATCAGAGGCGGATCCAGCTCAGAGTTTTTTTTTTTTGGGGGGGGGGGCAAACCATAACAATTTATCGACCATGCCTCGTCCATAGGCGTAATGTTAAAATTATGCCGTTTGGGAGGGACAAATGCCCATTCCCCCCCCCCCCCCTTGGATCCGCCACTGGTGGGAATGACCCTGGATAGTCTCGGGCATCCCACGTCCTACGATCCTAGTGGTTAGCGATGAGCGGAAATGAAACGTTACAGTGTGCTAGTGGCTAGAAAAATGGGTCCGGGGGCGGAGTTTACACCGATGTACTGTTACCTACATGCGGTCTCGGGTACGACGTTCGACACGGATAGCCACGGAGGTGCACACGTTGCGCAGCAAGGCGCGCCGTTCCGGCTAGCCACTAGCCAGCCCTGCGGCCCCCGCCGGTGCCGTTCTCTGTATGCCAGCCCAGACTACCTCCGTGATGACGTCCATTCAGGCAGCCGAGCTCCCAATGGCCGAGCCTGTGCCGCTGAGACGCAGACGACACGCGCCAATGAGCTGCTGCCCGGCCGGCAGAGCCGCCACCCCGTGACATGTCCCGCCAGGGCCCCGCTGAATCCTTTTGAGCGACTTTGACACAGCATTCCACCAACTCAATCTGTACCACACGCACTGATTGCAGCCTGTGCCGAGCACGTGATAGCAATTAGCAGTTGCTGTTCTCAAACAAAAACACGATAACCTGCTAAGATGAATAGCAAAAAAATTGTCGGGAACCATAGCGGATAGGGTCTGTTCCAGTCGCACTTCCTAAAACACCTCTAAACTCCTTTAACCCGCGCCGGGCCGGGGGGTGTTTGAACACGCCCCCTGCGGTTTTTCGCAGATATCTAGAAAACGGTGGCGCGGAGCGCCGCCGTTTTTAGCACACCTGTTCGTACATCTTTTCCGCACATGTTGTGAAAATTTCAGACCCAGGTCGCCTTAGGTCAGGTCACCAGGTCATGCCAAGTGACCTCACCTCAGAAAAAATAAGGATGCTCGTCATAGCTACACCGATTGATCGATTGCCTTTAAAGGGACTATCCCACCTTCTAAAATGTTGTTAAAACCAGTTAAATTGTGCCCGACTTTATAGATTGGATGACCAGGAGCACGGTTCTGGCATTTATTTTTCATTAAACATCTTAGGCTTCCCATATTCCAAACACAAACTTTCAAATATGTGACGTCACAGCCCAAAATTACCTCCTTCCCCAGTCCAGATTACTGTCATAAAGCTGATTCTTTTTACTCTGTAGGCACCACAACAAAGTTCAGACCAAGTTTTAAGCGATTTTTCAACGAACAAACCCATTTAACCCGCGCCCCGCTGGGGGTCCTGGATTTCCACGCCCTGCTGGGGGGGGGGGTGTTTGAACACCCCCCCCCCTTGTAACTCGGCTCCTGGGCCACGTAGCGATACGCGGAAGGCGGCGTTCGAAAGAGCGTCAAAAATAATGACGAAATCACTTCGGTCAATTTTTTGGTCAGGTCAAAGGTCAGGTCACCAGAGGTCATTGAAGGCAAAATTTCGCCGATTTCCAGGTCGAATGTCGAAAATTTCCAAGAAGCCAACGTATAACTCGGGAACCAATAGAGCTACAGCGCCGCGGAAAAGCGCATTCGATAGCCCTATTAACGCCCTTTCTGAGTAATTCTCTCAGATTTGACCTAACGTCAACGGTTTTGCCTGCAGGGGGCAAAAACTGAAAAAATAGCCGATTTTTTCGAAAACAGTTTTTCTGCAATAACTTTTGACCCAAGCCTTGTACGAGCTTACTTTAACCGGCATCGTGTTCCACTCGTCAAGACGCATTGAATGAACTATAATTTGACCTTGAAAGGTCAACTTGAAAATTTGACCTCAGGTCAAGGTCATGACCTGACCGGAAAGGGTCATATTGCATATCAGTCGATCCGTATCGTCGAGCTGAACACATCTAAGGCGTTTTCATCGCTCTAGCATGCGTCTATCAAAAGTTATTTGCGAAAAACTGTTAGATGCAATTAGTGACCTAAGATGACCTCAGGGCATAAACAAGGGTCACGGACACCATTTTCATGTTCAGTGTGTCTAAACTACTTGTAATTCGGTGTTTGGGAGTGTTTATAATGTCTTTCATCCAAAAGAGGCGCATTTCAATTTTCTCCCATTGACTTATAATGGGGAGGTCGCAAAATTGACCTGACCTTAGGTCATCGATATCAAAATTCTGAGATATACATTTTGTACATGCTATTGCTCTTAGCAATCGCTGAAAGTTTCAAAGCGATCGGTCACTTGGTGTAGCTTTGACAGACATTGAAAGTTTTTATGAGGTGAGGTCACTTCAAGTGACCTGGTGACCTGACCTTGAATGACCTTGGTCTGAAATTTTCACAACATGTGTAGAATTGATGTATGATAAGGTGTACCAAAAACGGCGGCGCTCCGCGCCGCCGTTTTTGAGATATTCGCGAAAAACCACAAGGGGGGGGGTGTTCAAACACCCCCCCAGCAGGGCGCGGGTTAAATCAGAATGACTAAACGAGGTGACGTCACACTAACGGTCGCTCCATGTTGAAGATAGGGCCTTGTACAAGGCCCATTTTCAAATGAAGGGAACGAATTTCTTCAACACCAAGAGGCCGCGGGGGGTTGCAACCTAGATAGATAGTGGTTTCTGAACCTCGCCGCAAACTTGGCTATCTCAACTCAAACCCCATGTTAAAGGTGGGATAGTCCCTTTAAACTTTCAGCGATTGATAAGAGCAACCTTATCTATAAAAGTTTAATCTCGGAATTTTGATATCGGTGGCACTCTCAAACATCGAGATGTAGGTAAAATTGACACACTTAACCGGAAAATGGCAACTGTGACCCCTCGTTATGTCCCCGAGGTCATCTCAGGTCACGAACAGAATCTAACAGTTTTTCGCTAATAACTTCTGATAGAGGCGTGCTAGAGCGCTGAAAACGCCTTAGATGTATTCGGCTCGACGTTGCGGATCGACTGATATGCAACATGACCTTTTCCGGTCAGGTCATGACCTTGACCTGAGGTTAAATTCTTAAGTTGACCTTTCAAGGTCAAATTATATTGTATTGTATTGTATTGACCATCACCGGCACTCCACAAACACTAGTGGCTTTTCCGCGCCGTAAGTCAAGATATAAAACAGTGTGGTATGGTAGGTAATGGAAATAAACAGAGACATTCACTCGCAACATTCAAAACATACATACATTCTAAACCCTACCCCCGCCCCCCGCGGTGTATGAGTATGAGTGAGTATGAGTTTATTGTAGAGACCATCCACGCAGTGGCTATTCTGATCTCACGTCAGATGATACATTACTAAAACACAGGATTAAAACACATACTTAAAACACCAGGCCATTACATTTTAAAAGTAAAGTAAATTAAGCAGTAGGCAAACACTATAAACACGTTAAACACCAGATAAAAGAAGATGAGGCCTATGAGCGAGTGAGTAAAATGAGTGGAGCACTAAGTGTTGTCACATTTTCTGACCGCCGCCTTGAAGGCGCGGAGGGTGGGCATGCCACGGACAGACTGTGGAAGTCCATTCCAGGTTACCGCCCCGCGATATGAGAAGGCTCTCTGGCTCGATGACAGTCTGCAGCGCTGCACATGCAGGTCGCCGCCATCGGAGCCGCGCGTCTCCCGGGTCGACACCACGCTCCGGGGCACCAGGAGCTCTCGCACATTGGAGGGTGCGCCGTCCGTCCGCAGCAGCCTCCACACCTTGGTGACGTCCCGGCGCGCCACCAGGGCCGCGATCCTCGGCCAATCAAGGGAATTTAGAGATGATGTGATGTGCTCGTGTTTTTTAACCCCTGTTACAACTCTGGCCGAAAAATTGATTAGCTTCTGAATTTTTTGCATCTGTCCCTTGGCCGCCCCACCCCACACACAAAGACAATAAATGACAATACAATAAAAATATAAATGACAATAAAGACAATAAAGTGTCCCTATTGCACATTGACTTAATACTACGTTGGAAACGCGCTGGGTCCAGTTCGATGACATTCGTTGGAAGTTTGTTTAAAAGAGATGTTGCGCGATATAAGAAGGACCGCTGACCGGCCGCTGTACGAGTAAAAGGAGGCCTAAAATGCCGGTCCTGTCGAGTGCTACGGTCGCATCGCTGTTGGCGCGAGTCACCGAAAGTCACAAAAAGAGATGCAATGTCTTCCGGCTCATCGTAAGTAATCGCCTTATGGGCCACAGCCATCGTAGACATCTCGTACATCAGTCGAGGACCGTGCAGTCCTAGGTCCTCTCGCGCGTGAGACACGTGGTCATACTTCCTGAGACCGGTGATCACCCTGGTCGCAAAGTTGATCACGCTAAGCAATCGTGCGTCGTTTCTCGCTGTACCACCACCATACACCGAAATACAGTACCTCACGCGCGAGAGGACGAGACCATCGACAACGGTTCGCAGGACACCCTGAATCCTTATAGTTCATTCGACGCGTCTCGACGAGAGTAACACGATGCTGGCAAAAGTAATGTCATGACTTATTTGAGTCAAAAGTTATTGCCGAAAAAAACACTTTTCGTAAAAACGGCTATTTTTGAAGTTTTTGCTCTCTGGAGGCTAAACCGTTGACCTGAGAATATTACTCAGAAAGTCCTGTAAAAGGGCTATCGAATGCGTTTTTCCGTGGCGCTGTAGCAGGCGGTTCCCGAGATAGCCGTTGGCAGTTTCCGAAATGTTGAAATAGTCAACATTTTACCTTTGGTGACCTCTGGTGACCTGACCTTTGACCTAACCCAAAAAAAATGACCGAAGTGTTTTCGTCCTTATTTTGGACGTTCTTTCGATTGCCGCTTACCGCGTGTCGCTACGTGGCCCAGGGGCCGAGTTAGAAGGGGGTTTTCAGACACCCCCCGGCCCGGCTCGGAATCTCAGAGCACCGGCCCGGCGCGGGTTAAAGTGACCATCCCACCAATTAACATGAGTTTTGAGTTGAGATAGCCAAATTGGTAGTCATGGCCTGCCAATACCGGTTTGGGCACTCACAACATCGAAAAATGCTTTAATTCGGAGATATGGAATTTCAAATTTGTAGTTTATGGATTCTAAGGGGCTCATGCTGATGCATTGGAATGCCCCCTTGGAATTTGTGACGTCAGCGGACAGCGGAGATCTGATGATTTTTAAATCTTAGACTAAAACCATCGTTAGCACGTGGTGAATGAATGAATGAATGTATTTTCCTCGACCCCACTCGGGGTATGGGAACTTGGCTGGAACATATTTACATAATGTACAACATACGAATGAACACAAATGGTATACCATTAGGACGCGTGTATTATGTATATCACACCACGGGGTGTTACGGACACAAAACACTGCCGATGTGTAAATCACACCCACAGTGTATATAAATGATCACACCAGTGATCACACCAAGGTGTCAGTGTGGTATACGCAGGAGTAGTGCAGATGTGTGCGTGACACCCTGGCAAGTGTGACGTAGGCACATTAGCACAAAATACTTTAGATCACACCTTGGTGAGTTTTACTGGCGGAAAGGGAAATGTGTAAGCAACACCAAGGTGTGAAAATAGCCAGCACGAAAGTGTGATTTACCTAACAGCGCAAGCCATGAATTAAAGGAAAAGGGCCACCTTTAACATGGGGATTGAAACTGAGATAGCCATCTTGTAGCCCGTGTTCGAAAACCTGGCTGTCTACCTCCTTACGGCCGATTTCGGCCTCCATTCGTAGTTATCGGCAATTTTAAAAGAAAATACGCCAGGAATGCGTCCTTATCCCAGGAATGCGTTCTTATCCGACAATACAGCCACCCGCGGCGAGGCTTTGGTTTTTTACCAATCAGCTCCAACCAGCTCAGCTTTAACCAATCAGCTTATCTGACACAATCCGACGAGTCTGTCTTCTGAACGCTGATTGGCTTGAGTGTGACGTCATCGCTATGCCATCATACAGTAGGTGCCGTAGAGAGTATCAACATAGTACCAATATGTTAAATAGTTTTAAATACTTTTTCGCGAATTGTGCACTTCTGGCACCAGTTTTAAAAAGAAAATGAAAAATAATAATGTCAAAATGAAAAACAACGATATCTTCATATTTCACGAAGGTGGCCCTTTTCCTTTAACACACCCGAGCGTTGTAATGAGTGTTTCATTGGAGTCCGCACTTCAAGGCTGCAAAATTATTGCTTCCAAATGAAGTCGCTAGAAACAAGAGAAATCTTAGAAGTAAACAAAAGTAAAAGTCTAATATCTTAAAAACCGGTTAATATTTTTCGGAAAAATTTGGTAGATATTCGTTTTCGCTCTTTCTAACCCAAACGAAATCATTTTCATGCTTATTCATTAACTTTTTTTGAAGGTGGGAGGGTCCCTTTTTAAGAGTCTGCTTTTTAGCTGCTTTTTAGACACTTCTTGATACACGTGTATTCAAGGCAGTATATCGCAGGGTATATAGAATAACAGGGTATATAGGTATATCGTGGTTTACATTCATCTATGTGGTTACATTGGTTTACAATAGCCGCCTTGACACATAGCCTTGCGTGTATTTTTTTTTTGTATTGAGCACAGTAACCTGGTTTACATAGTATTTTTGATGAGGCTCTAGCTTGTTAATTTGGCGATAATTTCGATGCAGTGGTCTTCAAATATTTAGAGGGGATCATTCTGTAAATTGTTAAGCACCATTGGCATCTTTTGCAACATCACGGACGGAGATATAAGCAGTATTAGCTTGCAACAAACCCTATGTAAACACGTCTAGTATTTTGAACAATGAACAGCCCTCTTCTATTTTCAGCCTCGGAATTGGGACGCCAGTGAAAACAGGGCGCCTGAGGGCATATTAGTCACGTGACATTTGGAGCTTCTCCCCCTCCGTGGGCCTTCTACATGCTAAATGTCACGTGTGAATTTCTCGAACCTTGATCAAATCGCCCCAGGCGCCCTGTTTTTCATGTCGTCTCGGAATTGGCCGCATTGGAAGTACACGTCAACGGAATTGGAGAGGCGGAGGGGCAGGCTTTGGGCGGTTGTCACGTGTGGCTCTGAGTTGCCGTCACTCTGCAGTTTGCTGCAATTCTGCTCCTGACCATTGCTTAGGAGTCAGGACTTATTGCAGTGTAGGATTTATGGCATTTATGCATTATTTCTTTAACTAACCATTTCAATTTCCTCATAGTTAGATAGGCATGCGCGCCATTTCGATATTCTGTATTCGGAATTCAGTGAATGTTGGACATATCTAGTCCTGCGGACGAGACAGAAACAATGTTACAGAGGGAAGGCACTGCATACATGTCTATCTCCCCCCAGTCTTTGCCGGCCGGGAACAAAGACTTACATAGATTGGCATAGATTGAAGGGTGCCGTAACGAAACGACGCCGAAAGGCCAAACGACGGGTCGCATTCACGGGAGCGCGAACAAACAAATAGCCCAGGGGGCAACAAAACACAGCTTCTAGGCAACCAGAACGAGTGGACCGGCTGGAAAACGAGCCGGGACAACGATCAAACACTAAACGCGGAACATATCCGAACATCGCAAACAACTGCCGAGTTTGACAATGATAGGGAGTCAGTGGCACAGTCAGCGCGTGAAATTGGGGTCGCGATAGCGGATCGGCATTTGGCGCGGGCGATCACTGCGACGGGGACGGTCGGGTTCAGTATCTCTCAGCGGCTGCGAGCCTGGCGCGGCAGGGGGCGGCATGGCCGGCGGCGACGGCGTGGCATGACCGGGCGACAACGCATGCGGGGACACGCGATGTGGTGGTGAAGTCGACATGGACGGTGACGGCGTCACACACTGTGGGGACACAAGGGGCGGCGACGCATCTCGCTCGCGCGGGGATAACACCACAGGCGGCGATGGCGCGGGTGGACGCGGTGTCGGGGGCCTGCCACGGGGCGCCCGCGGCGGCGTCGCCGGCATCTGGCCGACCACTGGAGTCGGAGAGCCGGGGGGTTGCGCCGCAGGTGGAGAAGTGGGTGGCGTCAGTCCAGAGTTCGCGTGCGACTGTGACACGCGTGTTGGATGTCGGCGGAAGTCGTCGAGCAGTTCGTCCATTCGGGTGTGCTGACGACGAGCCGGAACAACCGGAGTGTATTTGCGCAGGAACTGCCTGTTGCGCAATGTCATTCGGCCGCTGCCGTCGACCCGGACCATGTACTGGTTATGTTGTCGCACCTCCACGACGCGGCCAGTTTTGTCCCACTTCCTGGGATATCTTCCGATTTGGTTTTGGAGGCGGACGGCATCACCGACGGTCAGTGGAGGTAGTCGCCTCGTATGTGCGGACCAGCGTTCGTGGTCCCGCATGTGGCGGTTCCGGAGTGCCTCCTCACGAGCACTCAGGGTTTCGCGCCACGTGGGATGAGGACGGTACTGACCGGGGGGTATCGGGATGAAGTCTCGCACCGGACGACCGAACACGCATTGGGCCGGCGACAGCCCTGTCGTGGGGTCGGGAGTGTTGCGGTAGTTCAGCATGGCGCGCTGGAAGCGTCGCACGTTCAGTTCCCCGTTGTCACCTGTGTTGCCTTCGATCATGCGTTTGACGGTTTTGACGCCAACCTCAGCGCGACAGTTCGCGTGTGGGAATGCCACAGAGGAGCGGCGGTGACGAACACCGTAGTCGGCCAGAAACGCCTGTGTCTCGTGGGCAGTGAACTCCGGCCCGCCATCGCTCGTCAGCTCCTCAGCGATGCCAAATGTGCTGAAGACGCGGTAGAGACAGTCTCGGAGGCCTGCGCTGCCATCTTGTGCTCTCTCAACGATTGGCCAGTTAGAATAACGATCAACGATGACGAGGTACGTACGGCCGCAGTGTGTAAAGTAGTCCGCGCATAGTTGCTGGAACGGGTACTCTGGGTAACTGATGTCCTCAGGTGGGGCCCATGGCTGCGATGGGGCGTTCCGGTTGCACGTGTGGCATCGTTCACGGGCGCGCCGAATAGCTGACGTGATGCCGGGCCAGTACACGCTTACGGCCGCGCGCGCGAGCATCATGCCGATCCCTTGGTGCGCACCGTGGAGACTCTGGAGCACCTCCTCGCGGAGGCTGGGTGGGATGACGATTCGCTGATCATACAGGATGATGCCGTCGCTGGTGTATAGGCCATCACGGAGCGAATGATACTCTCGGAGCTCCTCAGGCATCTCGTGGCGGTGGGCTGGTAGCCCTCCCTCGATCAGTTCGAGAAGTCGCATCATCGACGGATCGCCTGCCGTTGCGTCCCTCACGCGGTCCCAGGTGACAGACCGGATCGTGGTGATGGCGGCTGCCGCTACCTCGCCAGCATCGTCGACGGTGACGTCGTCGGAGAGGCTTATGCCGATGGGAGCGCCGGTTGGGTACCGGGACGCGATGTCGGGAACGCGGTTCTTGACTCCGGGGAGATAGCTGATGTCGAATCTGAACCGGAGGGTCTTTTCCTTGAGATTACGGAGACGGGCGTTGGGCAGGTCGACCAGTGATCGGTCCCCGAAAATCTTCACGAGGGGTTTGTGGTCAACAACGACCGTGAGGTCGCTGCAGCCGAGCACGAAGAAGCGCGTTTTCTCGAGGGCGTCGGCCACTGCCAGCGCCTCGCCCTCGACCGGGGCGTACCGAGATTCAGCGCCGGATGTAAAGCGGCTTCCCACCAGCGTGGTCTTCCAGCCCTCAGCGCAGCAGAGTGGTGACCGACCGGCGCATGTGCAGTATTTCTGGAGTAACCAGAAACCGATACCAGTACGGGACCAGTCGGTGGCCAGGACGGTTGGGCGATCTGTCTCGAAGATCTGGACACCCTTCGTGACCTCCTCGACGATGGTCCGTTTCGACATGTCGAACAGTGCCTGGAGTTCATCCGTCCACGTGAACTTGCCGGGCTTCAGGAGTTCCCGGAACGGCAGCATGGCATCCGCCATGGCGAATGCGTAGGCGACGTGATTGACGACCCCGAACCACGCGCGGACGTCTGTCAGGTTCCTGGGAGTGGGGAACTCGGTGATGCTCTGAAGGAAGGCATGAGACGGGCGGACTGTGTCAGGCGTGATTTCAAACCCAGCGAATTCCGCTGTCTTCTGGGCGAAGACAAACTTCTCGCTGTTCAGCGTGATGCCGGAACGGCCACACATGTCCAGCCATTCCACAGTGCGCCAGAACACCTCCTCGATGCTGTCTCCCCAGAGAAGGGTGTCGTCGATGCATTTCGTGTAGCAGTCGTGTGACAGGTTTGCCGCCATCACGATCTCGTCATAGCGGCGCGTGTACCCGTCACCGCTGGAGATGTAGCCCTGGGGTGCCGCGCAGTAACGGTATCGGCCCCAAGGGGTCAGGAAAGTGGTGAGGTGTCGATCTTCCTCGTGTAGGGGCACCGAATGGTAGCCATTCCAGGCGTCCAGTATCGTCTTGTAGGTCGACCTCGGCACAGACCGGGCTTGGTGGAAGGGACTTGGGGTATGATGCGTCTCTCTTGCGGCGCAGCGGTTCAGGGGCTGAAGGTCGACGCAACGACGACGACGCAACTATCTATGTTGGACATATCTTAATTTGCAATCAAGCATAACGTCGAAACCCGAGCCTCGAACCATGGCAACAGCCTGCCCATTCAGCGGCTGTGAATACGTCGTCGCTGCAGATACCGCACCTATCGTGGTCGTACAACTTCTTCAAATGCACCAGTCCGAGGCCCATACCCGGCCTACAGTGAGCATTACTGCCGAAAAGGTCACCAGACCGCGCGTGACAGCTGCCGGATCCAGCGAGGACTGGGAGTATTTCACCAGCCGATGGACGGAGTACAAGAAAGCCACCGGACTCACCGATACAGACTGCGTCATCCAGCTGCTTGAATGCTGCGACGAAGGCCTCCGCAGGGACCTCACCAGATTCTCGGGGGGCTCCCTCTCATCCAAGGACGAACAGACTGTCTTGGCCGCAATGCGAAGTCTCGCCGTCCGCGAGGAAAACCTCGCAGTGGCTCGCGTCCAGCTCCACAACATGACGCAGGAGCACGAAGAGCCGGTCAGGGCGTTCGCCGCTCGTCTTCGCGGGCAGGCGGCTGTCTGTAAGTTTCACGTCACCTGCGAATGCGGACGGGTCGTCAGCTACCAGGATGAAGTCACACGCGATACGCTCGCCAGGGGGCTAGCGGACAGGGATATTCAACTGGACCTCCTCGCCCAAGGCCAGACACCGATCCCCCTGGAAGAGACCATTCGTTTCGTCGAAGCAAAAGAGGCTGGTAAGCGATCCGCTCAGACGCTGGGTCAGTCTCAAGGTGTGGCCGCTGGAGAGGCGAGGGGAGCGGGTGTCTGGTGGCCGGGCCGGGCGGTGGGAAGCTGGGACAGTGAAGTCGGAGCGTGTGCTGGTCGGTGACGCTGGTGGATAGCGCGAGACATTGAGGGACGCTGGTGGATAACGGGAGACGTGTCCGCGTGATTCAGACTTGGTCGCTGTGCACGGTCTCCGACACACCGGGCCTTCAGACTACAGTACTATCAAATATCGGACTACAGTACTACCGGTCGTCAAACTACAGTACTACAAGTCCTCAGACTACAGAACTACTGGTCATCAAACTGCAGTAATACCGGTCCTCGGACTACAGAACTGCCGGACCGCAGACTACAGCACCACCAGCCCTTGGCTGACGGACATGGGAATGGGATATCAGCGAGCTCCTTGAACGCAAAGATATCTAAACGTTCAGCTAAATGGGGACGATTATCCGGCCCTCTACAGAGAGCAACTCCCATCAGTTAGCAGTTAGCACCAGCCTGATCACTGGAGGAGCTCCTGTCCTGCTGGCACCGCCGGCAGTCGCCGTGCTGCCAGCGCTGATCGTTACGCGGAGGTGGCGCGCCTTCTGGTACAGTCCGGCGCGCGGATTAGAGTTCTGCACGGCTGCAATTTTCCACAGCCTAGCCACCCCGCAGCCGTGGCTCCACAGCCACAGCCGCCCACAGCCGTGGCAAACTGACTAGATATGTCCAACATAGATAGGCATGCGCGCCATTTCGATATTCTGTATTCGGAATTCAGTGAATGTTGGACATATCTAGTCCTGCGGACGAGACAGAAACAATGTTACAGAGGGAAGGCACTGCATACATGTCTAATAGTTATATTTACCACACCTTGACCTTGCACCAAAAATTCATCTAATTTGATGGCCTTGCTCGGTCAGGACCTATATACGGCCTTGGGTCAGGAGACATACCAATAATAGGATCTGATGCCTTTTGCACCAAAATCCTCATTCCCTGCAGGAGCGAGTATAATGAGTTGCAGGGCTGCCGACTGTCTCAGCTGTATCTCTGTAACATGCTCATGTTATGTACATTTTAGTTAAGTAATCGGTACTCTCTTAGCAGATGTTGCCCTTGCTGCCATCTCTTTGTCTCACGTGTGCCGCAATTGTCTTTTTACAGTTAAATACACAACAAAACTACCTAACCCAACCTACACCTTACGACGTATAACCTAACCAACCTACAACCTACCCTACTAGATATGGCAGTAGGGGTGACATCTGCTAAGAGAATCCAGTGGCGCGGGAACTTCTTCCAGACTGGGGGGGCTGAACCATAATAGAAATCAACCTAGGGTACCCCCAAATCTAGTTTTCTCACCGGTTTTAGGCCACTTATTTTTCAGACCTTGGCCTTTTCAACAACAAAAAAAAAAACGAAAATATTTTCAAAAAGTGAGGTATTCCGTATCAGCTGAGTGAAGAAACTACCATTTTGGCAACCTGGAGTAAAGGTTTTAATCTGCCAAATGAGTTGCCGAGCCAGTGAAATAGGTGGATTTTTCACTTACATGCTTTCTTCCTTTGTGACCCACAACCCCTAATTTGGGGAGGACAAGCTGCCCCACGGTTCCTGGCCTCATGAAACGTTGTGGGGCACCGCCCCCACGGCCGCAGAGTTGTGGGGGCAAGCTTCCCCCACTGCCCCCTCCCCCGGTTCCCACGCCTATGTATGAATCTATGAAATTATGTTGGTAGATTTCCGATTTCGATTCCTCCAGCTGGGGGGGCTCAAATATATTACGAGCCCCCCCAGCCGAAAAGCTGGGGGGGCTCAGCCCCCCCTAGCCCCCCCGGTTCCCGCGCCACTGAGAGAATCCCAAGTACTGTCTCGTTTCCAGCCCAGCCCAGCGTTTGATGTCTCTCGGACGGCGAAGATTCTACGCTGTCCGGCCAATCACGTTCCATAACCGCAGCCGAGCCCCCGCTGACCTTGGACGGGATTGGCCGGACGGCAAAGAATCTTTGCCGTCCGGGAGACATCGAACGCCGCCTTGGTGTATGTACATCCCTGTCGTTCAGTGACATCAACTGCAAGGGCAGAAAAAGTTTGCTTGTGCCCTGCACAGTGCTCTAGTTATCCTTGAATGCTGTCAAATCTATTATAATTATTTAAAAAAAAACATCAATCTGTTCTTGTTTTTCTTGTGAGCTTTCAGGTGATATAATTTTAGCCCATTGTCAGAATTCCTTTGGTGGCGTTTGGATCAGTCGGACGTGTTTGAAAGTGCTCCATTATTTTAAGATATGTACCGTAACCAGCTAACGTACTGCTTTTAAAATGCACAGAAATGTTCGCATTTTATCATAGATTGTTTCTTTCTGGTGTATACTGATTAAGCATAAGTTACGTGTAAGACTGCTAGAACATTTTAAAAAATGAATTATTTTCATTAGTTTTGGAAAGTATTACGGTTCAATTAAGGTCAATTCTGATTGATTTTTACTCTGAAAGCACGTGCTTTATAGGCTTAGATCTAGCAATCGCAGGATTTACGCACTGAAACTTGAAAGGTGATTAAAGATTGCGCTATGCACAGCTCTTCGGACGATGACTCGGACTACTTTTTTGAGGGTTATGACCCCAAAAGCAGCGAATGGATCATTGCAGGCAAAAGAAAAAGGAACAAGAAAATGAATGAAAAAACGAATCTTTCCAAAAATGAAAATGATGCAAAGGTAAAAATCGCTTCAAACTTGTGTGGCTCTTGTCAGAAGGAAATGGGCGCCAAAGACCGATCACTGGAATGTGGGGTGTGCTTGTTAAGATACCATGTTGTTTGCCAAGGAGTATCGGACAAACTGTACGAAGCCCTTGGGGATGATGCGGACAGTTGCGCGTGGTTCTGTCGGGCATGCAAGGAGGGAGCTAAGCAACTGAGACTTCAGAATTCAGATCATAGCGTTGCAGCGAGAGCAGCTGTCCATCAAATCCGAACTCGATCGGCTCGCCACTACATCCGATCAAAACTCTGCTGGAATTGCCGCATTGAGAGCTGATATATCACAGACCAACCAGAAGCTTGAGGCGGGGCAAAAGGAGCTGCAGGCTAGAGTCAACGCCATCGAAGCCATTTCCAATGCCAACGTCACACAAAATGACAAAAAGATCGCTGCCCTCCAAGCAAAGCTCGAAAAAAGATTGCAAGAAGTGGAAAAAAGCTGTGGGTCGGCATCAGCAGAAGTGCGCAGTCCTAGCTACGCTCAAGCAGCAGCTAGCATGACAGCATTGGAAACCAGACTAGAGGAACTGTCCGTGACTGTAAAGTCAAACCTAGTAAAAAAGGACACTGATACCAGAGCCCTGAAGAGAGGTCTCAGTGAACTAGAAGACATCGAAAATAGGAAACTCAACTTGGCAGTTTTCAACCTCCCTGAGACCGGTAGCAGCGAAGGAGACATTACAGCATTCAAAGAAATGATCAAATCTGAGTTTAAACTATCTGTGAAGTTACAGGAGGCGACACGGCTTGGAAAGAAGAAAGACACAGGTTCCAGAATACTGAGAGTGAAACTTGAAGCGCTGAGTGAGAAGAAGCTGATCTTGGCTAAAGCGAAGGATTTGCGAACAAGCCACGACGAAACGTATGCCAGTGTCTTTATCCGTCCAGATCTGACAAAATGCCAGCTTGAAGCTTCAAAAAACTTGCGAGCACTGCTCCAGGAAAAGCGCCAAGCTTTCCCAGAAAAGAGATGGATGATCAAACGGAACGAAATTGTCATGGTTCCATCACAGCGAGACTAGACATTCAAGACGACAAGAAACCTGCCGGGCCTGTAACCCATACTGTTAACTCATTGAAAGTGTTTTATGCCAACATCGACAATTCTATTATGAGTAAATACGACGCGATGCTGGCACTCACTGCACTTGAGAGCTATGATATTCTTGCATTAACAGAAATGAAACCTAAAGTTGGGTTGATGCCTGAACACCCTGTAATGGAACTGCCCGACTACGAATTATTTACTATAGTCTGTTCCATATCAAGTTTGCAGTCGGAGTTTCTTCGGCAGATCGCTCCTCCGCTCAAAAATTTTCGTCTTAAAATGTAAGAGCTGTATATACAGAAATCATGCACTGCTTTCAGCAGGGCACTTCGGCTGCAAGCTTGAAACGGAACAGAGTATAGCAACTTTTCAGCCGGAGCTACTAGGGGCACGGGAATTTATGTAAAAAAGAATCTGATGGCCAAACAAGTTTATCCCACGGGAGACTGCAACTTTCAGGATTGCACCTGGATTACCATTAATGCCCGGGGTGGAGCAAGTATGCTTGTTGGGGTGATCTACAGAAGCGGGTCACCAAGTAAAGCTATTCCTCAAGATCCTGATCTTCACAAAATGCTTGGCTGGGCAGCATCCACAAATCATTCGCACAAGGTTATAGTCGGTGACTTTAACCACCCAGAAATATTCTGGACCCCGGACCCAGAAGTTCCAGAAGGTGTCAGTCAGAACAGCCCAGCTCGTAAGTTTATCGAATGTATACACGATACCTACTTTCTACAGCATATAACAGAGCCAACAAGATACAGAGATGGACAGCGCTCTACTCTCGATGACCTGCTCTTTACAAATGAGCGAGACTTGGTGGAACAACTGACAATTGGAGACCCGGTTGGAGCAAGCGATCATGCCAGTGTCTCATTTGCTATATCGTTTGTCCCTTACGTTCCAGTAAGAAAGAGTGCGGTACTGAATTACCACAAAGCCAACTATGAAGAAATGAGGAAAGCACTGGACGTTGACTGGAAAGGACTATTTGAAGGCAAATCTGTGCATGAGATGGCAGATACGCTTGAACAAACGATCACGGATTTAATGGATAGGTACGTGCCCAAGCTGGACACCAACAAGAAAGCGAAAAGAGGAAATCCCCTGTGGATGAATCGGAGTGCTCTTAGAATGGTGAAGAAAAAACATCACGCTTGGGTTCGTTTTCTGAACACCAAGGACAGTAATGATTACGAAAGTTATGTCAAGGCAAGAAATGAAGCTACCCACGCGACCAGGAAAGCAAGGCGGGAATTCGAGTCGAAGCTGGCTAAAGAAGTCAAAGGAAATCACAAAGTGTTTTGGAACTACGTCAACCGTCGCAGGAAATCAAAATGTGGTATCTCGGACTTGCGTAGTGCTAATGGTGAACTGGCAACTAACGACAAGCACAAGGCTGATATATTGAATCATCAGTACGCAAGCGTTTTCACAAAGGAAGACAAGTCATCGATCCCAACGCTAGCTCCAAAGCCTTTGGAGGCAGAGATGCAAGTTGCGATAACTGTTCAGCGAGTCCATGCCAAGCTGAAAACACTGAAGATTGATAAATCGCCAGGTCCCGATAACATGCACCCTCGTGTTTTGCACGAACTTGCTGACCAACTTGCGACACCCATCACATCTCTGTTCTGTAAAAGTATTGAAACTGGAGAAGTTCCACGGCAGTGGAAGGTGGCCACCGTCACGCCAATCTTTAAAAAAGGCGACAAAAGTGATCCCGCGAACTACCGACCAGTGTCACTGACATCAATATTATGCAAGATTCTGGAGAGGATCATATGCGAGGACATCATCGCTCATCTGAAGACAAACAATCTTATCGCTCGCCAACAACATGGTTTCATCACAGGAAAATCTACGGTCACAAACCTACTGGAAGCTCTTGATATTTGGACGGAAGCGCTAAGCCACAGCTTACCAGTGGATGTTGTGTTTCTGGACTATGCCAAAGCGTTCGACACTGTGCCCCATGAACGGCTTCTAGCCCAGGTCCAGGCTCTAGGGGTGAATGCAAAGACTCATCAGTGGATAAGGAGTTTTCTAACAGGCAGGCGGCAAAGAGTGAACGTCAATGGATCACTCTCAGACTGGGAGTTTGTAACAAGTGGAGTGCCGCAAGGCTCAGTGCTCGGGCCTCTCTTGTTTTCCATGTTTGTCTGTGATGTTCCCGACCTCTTAAATTGTCATATCTCTATGTTTGCGGACGATACCAAGGTCTACCAAGTCATCAACGAGCGTGATGGTGAACTTCACAATCTGCAAGAGGACATCAACTCTTTGCAAGATTGGGCAAAAACAATGCAGATGATCTTTCATCCACTCAAGTGCAAGGTCATGCATCTCGGACCAACAAATCCTGGAAGTGAGTATACCATGACAACTATGGGTGGAGGCAAACATACCCTTGAAGCAGTCTGTGAGGAAAAGGACCTGGGAGTCACTATAGACATGAAGCTATCCTTCTCAAAACATGTCACTAACCAGATTAACAAGGCCAATAGAATTCTTGGTGCAATCAAGCATACCTTTGCAAACATTGACAGCGACATTTTCAAAGCCTTGTACAAAAGCATTGTCAGGCCCCACCTCGAGTATGCAACTGTTATATGGAGTCCCAAGTTCAAAAAGGACAAAGATGCACTCGAACAGGTGCAGCGGCGGGCAACAAGGCTGGTGAACGGACTGTCTCACCTTTCATATTCAGATCGCCTCAGGAGCCTTAATTTACCTACTCTGGAATTCCGACGGAAACGGTCGGACATCATCGAGACCTTCAAAATTTTGAAAGGCTTCGACAAGGTGGACTTCCAAAGAGAGTGCCCGTGTTGTCACAACAGCATGTTCAAGAACTCTCTCAGCCGTGTCACCCGAGGTCACGATCAAAAACTTCAAGTTCAGCATCAATTGGGACCCAGAAAAGCCTTCTTTGCGGCACGAGTAACTCAGACATGGAACAAGCTGTCAACCCACACCATCGATGCTCCAAATATCGATGTGTTCAAGTACAGACTGGGGAAGGAATGGAAGGATCACCCCGAAAAGTTCAACTACAAGTTCTCATACTAATGATCATCGTGGCCATCAATGTATGGCCTCACCTAGCATGGCAGCCTACTCGTCTTCATCAGAAGAAGAGGAGGCATCTCTTGAGTAAAGGGTCTGATTACTCGAAAGGGTACCTAATGACCTTTACTTAAGGTAAATACTTAAGGTAAATTGTTGGATGTGGTGGCTCTCTGGGAGAGCCCTAAAGTTGGGCCATCTTCCTTAGGATTACATTACACTAGCCATCCGATCCTTGATACCACTGTGAGTGATGTCACAATAATCATCGCGTGGACCTTATGAGCATACCTCCTGTGACCTGTCTAGGTCCTTGAATGAGTTTACTCGCCTTGTTTACTCACTGTGGGTTCCTCCACTTCCCAGCCTTACATGACTGATGTAAGGAGGGGGAGAGGAGCCTGGAAGCACAAGACACACCAGTTATTCAATGCTAGAACTAACCTTGGCAGTAACTACATAACAAGATAAACTGGAAAAGTGTATCTGCATTGTGTTGATCATCAGTTCATGCTGTATGTATATCCCAACATACTGTCAATTTAAATGTGTTGTTTTACACAAAATCATACAGCTCATCAGGAATGGCTTCAACCAAGAGTATACCGTAAACCGGGGTGACTTTGTATCACTTTTGACCAGTTTGGTACAATATCTTGTATATCACTTGAGATTTCACTCTGGAAACTGTTTCATCATACCAATTGGACAATTCTCTATCTAACTGAGTACAATAAATGCCTTGAAATTTATCATAAATATTTTATTTTTTACCAAAAAATTGATCATTCTCACCCAGACGTCGGGGGTGACTATGATCACTACATTAAATCACCTTATGTGTGCCATAGGAGCCCTCAGAAGGGGCTTGTGTGATAAAATTACATGTTTTGAATAAAATCAAAGTCTTTGCTTGACAAAAACTCACACATTTTACAGTAAAACTATGAATCATTGAGGTATTAAAATAAAGTTGCATGCTCTGGGTCTAAACTGACATTACAGAGCTATAAGCAGCAAAATTAGCTACTTTAACCTCTGACTTCAAGATTAAGTAACAGTCACAGATGTCCTAAGCCACAGGCTACCTGTTCTACATCACACTTTGTCTGCTGGTGGCTGTGGGACCACTTGCCACACTGTTAATGCCCCTCCCAGCTGATTGTCTTTTTCACTTCCCATTGACGCTCCAATTACCACTGAGATAGAGCAGCTCAATGCTCATCCTCCATCATCAGTATCTAAGCCTTTCCTTTCTCTTTCTTTATCTGGGTCTTTCTCATCTTTACCATTATTTTTGCTGGAGATGCTAGCGAATTTATACTTCATGCCAATGACAACAAAAAAACAAGCTGTGACATGAACATGATTATTCTAACTGGGACCCAAAGTGTCTGATATAATGCTTCATTGCTTTATTTAACTATTGGCATAGAAAATACAGTTCACAGCAGCTAATTGCTCATTTGAGGCCCAAAATTGGTCTATGATCAAAGTCACCCCGGGTATCATTGTCACCCCGGTTTACGGTATTGCTTGGTATATTGAAAGAGGGGTGATTTGGGGCCATCACCACTCTCTCAGGGAGGTTGTTCCATAAGTTGTTGCTGTATTGTTTTTTTGTTGTTGCATTTTTTCAGATAGTTGACATGTGAAACATTATTCTCCAAGTTGTAAAAATGATCATTGACATGCCAAAAAATTCTTGTTTCTTCTGATACCAAAGTGCAAGTATTGTATGCTTAGTAGTGTATAGAAAATAGAAGAAAATTGCAAATCTGATGAGGAGTCCAATGGTGAATGGTTTGCTAACTGTTTCAAACTGAGCTGTAGCCTGCTATATAGGGTCATGATTGTGGGGGATTAAGGAGGAAGAGGTATATTTGATTTTTGAATAGTAATTTCAGACACCAGCTATAGGTACATTGGTTCTCAAACCAATGGTTCCCAAACTCAAACCATATTGGTGAGCCATACATTTTCTACTGTTGCAGCCTGCAAACAGTTTTTTCCCCTGAGAACTTTTCCTCTGACTGCTGTAAAATGGCTCTCCTCTAAGCTCATCCAACTTCCTCAAAGTATATTAGATTAACCATGGTAACAAACCCATAGGTGTACTTGTAGGTTACTTGAGTTTACGTTTACCTAGCTGGTGGCTTGCTGACTGGCTTCAGGTAGGCGTTTTTAGTAAGCTTTTGTTATTTCAATTTTGAGAAGTGTGTAAAATACATCCAATTCTACCCTGTTGCTTTTCTGTTGTTTGGACAAAACAGCAGATTTATGTGATGTCTGCTACCTTTAAAAGAGAGAAGCAAGAGTGACCTGTAACAGGTCATGTTTTCAAGCTCAGGATATGGACAATCGATATCAAAGTTACAATTTGATGGAAGATATCCATATGAATGGCCATCTGTGTTTAATCATTGTTCTGGCCCATTCATGTATGATACAATGCCACTGAGTTTCAGTGTTTCAATGACATTTCCGGTTGCCTCAATCTCAATTCTAACTATCTAATGCCCCAATTGCCTCAATTGAAATTATAACAACATATTGTCTCAATCTCACTTCACTGAATAACAAAATACCTACAACTCTCATTATTCCAGACCACCTGAACAACTGTACAGGAAAATGAACAGAAACTTTAAACTTTGTACCTGTGCAGGAGGAATATTTGTTTGCTATTTCTACTATGGTGTGCTACAAGAGAGGATGTAAGTGCAATGATGCTGCGATTGTATCACCTACCTGTGTTTGTAAATTAGTTAAACGTTATGTAAAGCTAGCAAACCTGCTATTTTTCGCTTTTGAGACCGTTGCTCCACAGCGCAGTAACAAATTGTGCAATGGAGTTATGGCTGCCTTTTAATTACCTTTCTCAAAAACAATAACCCACTAATAATTTGCAGAGTTAGTACCTTCCTTTAATTGCAATTTTGTAATGCATTGCTTCTGATAGGTACCATAAAATTTTCTCATTTAATCATATTTGTTACAGGATGAGGTGCCTATACCTACCCAGTTTAAGTTACTTTTACAATAAGTTACTTGTTTTTGGTTCTTTTGTTACTGATATTCCTATTAAATGCCCAATGATAAATATAATATGAATTGTTACCTACTTTAATGGTTACCATGCATGTATGTTTCTGATGTCAAATTGCATTGCTCTTTTTCAGTACTCGCGGGATATACAAGATTGGAGATGTGGAAGAGAAGTTTGTTTATATACTTCCTATGGTTGGGTTGCAGTGTTTGGTCAACACTATTTATGCAATGATATGTGAGTCACTAAATGACATCTCTCTCTCTCTCTCTCTCTCTCTCTCTCTCTCTCTCTCTCTCTCTCTCTCTCTCTCTCTCTCTCTCTCTCTCTCTCTCTCTCTCTCTCTCTCTCTCTCTCTCCTCTCTCTCTCTCTCTCTCTCTCTCTCTCTCGCTCGCTCGCTCTCGCTCTCGCTCTCGCTCTCGCTCTCGCTCTCGCTCTCGCTCTCGCTCTCGCTCTCGCTCTCTCGCTATCGTTCTCGTTCTTTGGTTGTCACTGCTAATCGGACTCGGGACTCGGACTCTGCAGAGCTGTTGCTGTTGCTGCCTTTTTGGCCTCATTTATCAGTTTTTAACTTTTTTAAAGCGGAAGTGTTAAGCCACGAGCCGCTGGGGGGGGGGGCATAAAGTTGTCCCACTTTACGTTTTGTGGAATATCTCCAAAACCTGATGAGCTACGAACGTGAAAATTGGCATAGCTTCAATGAATACCTAGGCATTGTTTGAGGAAGTTTGGTGGCTTTAGCTTTTAAGATGACGTCACAGTGACGTCATAAAGTTTTGTCGTTTTCCGATATGGACCGTTCCTGACGTCGCTGAGCATGAAACCCAACTGTAAATGAACTAGACAGCGCCTGCTGTCATCCTAAACATCTAAATACACTTCCAACTAGTTCCTGGCCAAAAATCGGTCCTTTATATTCGGTCTCATATATCGTGAGGAAACTGGGAGTCGCAAATCTATAATTTGACTTCGGACGTCACTGCGACGTCATATCAAATGGGATCGACACCAAATTTGGACACAACCCCGGCTAGGTATTCAGGAAGATGTGTTTAAAGTTTCGCTTCTCTATCATTTGGCGTTGCGACAATATCGTCGCAGAAGTAAACGGGGGCGGGCAACTATAAGCCCCCCCCCCCCGCCCCAGCGGCCGGCGGGTGGCGCGGAGGCCCAGCGACCGCCGAGTTAAAGTTTCGAAACCAATTGCGTTCTTCAAAGTCATAAAAGGCAGTCTTACATGCTTATTTTAAAAGTATTGGTGATTCTGTGTACAAATGACCTTAGCTATTTAGTGGCTTTTTCATCGATTATGGTGCCTTTTGCTATTCGTTATCAAATTCGGAAACTGATGTTGCTTTGTGAATGTACCTAGTTTTGTCATAATTAAATCCGTTTGATTTACAGTGAATCGGTTCGTGAACCCACCGGCCAAAGATACGACGACACCAGGATACCATGCAGCAGTGTCTCTCACATACCTGCTAGCTATGGTGTTTAGCAACAAAGCCCTGCAATGGGTCAACTACCCAACTCAGGTGAGCTGACTGCCGTGTGGCATTGATGACTTAACCCGCGCCGCGCCCCGTAGGGGGAGGGGGCCGAAACGGCCCCGCCCTGTCCTTTTCCGTCGATATCTCCCAAACGACTGCAGATATCGTCACCAAACTTTCAGAACCCCTCCGGGCATCAATGTTACACATTTTGATCAAAAATGTTTCCAGAGGCTATGATGAGTTGGCCGCAAATGACGTCAGAATGACGTCATGTTCTGCGCCATTTTCGACCCAGGAAAGGTTTCTTGGGAAGAGCTGTCAGGCGGTTAGGCCTAGAGCTTTGAAGATACAGAAAAAATGTTAAAGACATAAAAGGTGTGGAATTAACAGGGCTACAAAACTGCTATCTTTGATTTTTTGGATTTTGACCTCCGCCCCATAAATAAAAAAGTCAATTTTTGGATATAATAGCCAAAAAATCAAAAAAGTTTTTTTTTTCGAATTTCGAAAAAAGGAATATGCATGATACTCCCTCTCACTTTCTATCCACGTACCAAATTTGAGATTGAAACTTCTTTTTTGGCCAAGTTATAGCGAAAACACTTCAAAATTGATGACGTCAAATTTTCGAACTCATTGTTTAGCAATTCTAGACCACGTAACGCAAAACAAAGACCACCATTAGTCTCCCCGTGACGAGCTGCATCGAATCGATACCCATTTTATGCAAAAATATCAACTTTGAAATTTGACCTAATTTGACCTGACCTTGATCTGACCTTCACCAGAACATAACCTGGACTGGCCCCAAAAATTGCCTGACCGACACAATCTCATTTGTCATGTAAAATGGACCATAAAACATGCATCACACGACACTTTCGTATTGTGACCCTCAGTGACCTGAGCTCTGTGACCTGACCTGGTATCTATGACCTCAATTAGCAAAATATGTGTTTTACGAACAATGTCCCATCGATGATTTGCAATAACATGCCTTTTACTCGATTTTACAGCACATTTCTTGAAATACCTGTACACGGTGAAAATTTGCCCTTTGACCTGAACTGTGACGTCATCGGTTGGACTGAGCTGAATGAAATAAGGTCACAAGGTAGTTCCGTGGTAGGGCTATCCAGCGCCGTTTGAATTTTGAATATCTGCCTGAAACTTTCCGAGATCTTGGGGGGGGGGGGGGCGAAACGCCTTACAAAGTCATTCGGATTTACAAAAATGCACTGCGGGACTTTTGCGTAAGCGGACATCCAGCACCCCCCCCCCTTTGTTTTGGTATTGATTTCTGCGGTCTATCCGGAAGTCAAATGGTAGTTACACGTTGGGGCGTCAGAACGTATCCACATAGCGAGACCGACCCGACCCGCTCATCATCTTCATTGAATGGCCTGGCCACTAGGTAATGCTAACCAGCTGGTTATACTCATTTTGTGAAATTAGCTAAGACTGGGCTGGGGGAGCACCAAATTGTTCTCTCATGAAGTTCAGTGGGAATCAGATACCCTCAATTCGATGTTGCTTACGCTTCACCGTATTATGAATTCTTAGTATATTATGTTTACTTCTTCTTTAATATATTTACATTCTAGCGGCTACAATGATGTAGCAGTGTGATGCACCGGTTTTCGCTGAGCAGTGTGTGCACGGCGGCGCGGCCGACCGCTCTGTGCTGCAGGTGGTGGGCAAGTCGTGTAAACCGATCCCGGTGATGCTGATGGGCGTGCTGCTGAGCCGGCGCCGCTACCCGCTCAGAAAGTACCTGTTCGTGCTGCTCATTGTCGTCGGCGTGGCCGTGTTCATGTACAAGGACGACGTCAAGAAGGAGCCGGCCGGCACCGAGGGGCTCGGAGAGGTCCTCCTGGTAAGCCAGGGGCTCGGAAACTTCCATAGTAATATCGTAAAATGGGGTCCTAATTGTTTTAAAGTGTGCATTGGTAATATATCAGGCACACCGGTGAACGGTGTGAGTACTATTGGTCTCAAGATAAGGGTCCAGGCGACCTGTAGGTTTGATGCGGTGAATACCCCCGCCTTAGCCACACTCGCTCGGTGCTACGGAGCTCCGATCTCGCGACCGGCCACCTGTACTTGTAGACTGTGCCGCATGACATAGCAGTCGAGCGGGCCAGCGGAGCTTAGGCGGAAACTAGCGCCGCGTTTGACAGAGAAGGACGCTCACCGTTCCGGCGGGAGGGCCGCTCGCCATTTTAACTCCATGTAGCGTCTCGCTGACAATGAAAGACACTACATGACGACAATATAGGGTTCGGCAAAAGTTATGTCCACTACCTATGACAACACTTTCCGGTTCCTAATCGTGTTTACACCTGAGGGGTGACGATTCAGGCTGCACTCCTCTATTTCACGGTCCTTGGCCGCAGAACATGAGGTGACGAACGGACCTCGGGTCACGGATCACCGAGCTACGGCCAGTTTCACAGAGATTGTCCACCTGAACGGCTGCGTCGCTACGTGAATGTCTGAAATTTCTATCAAGGGAGCTGAACCAGACAAACGGCATGCTCCAGGCCGAAATGACACAGCGTGTCATTGCTGATTGGTTGGGACATCTGCCTGTTGTTTTTGTTTGCAAGTCTTAATTATAGACGAACTGTCTGCACAGTCCGGTGTTGGTGGGATAAGCATACGGCTGCTGGCAGTGTTGCTGATCGTTCCAGTTTACCGGCGTGCGCCTACCATTTCAAACGTTACAGAAATCGCATTGAAAAAGGCGACCGGGAACCGGGAAGAGACAAAATTGGCCAAGCGGCTCGCGCTGAAGCGCTATCACATCTCCAAACAGGACCGTGAGACGCTATTGGAAGAGCTCTCCAAGGCTCATTACCTATCTTCGGCCCAATACTAAGCCAACGCATGGTCAACAACATGTTGACATGCATTTTCAACCAGGACGGCGCGCCAGCTCATCGCTCTGCCAAGGCCTAGCGGTGGTGCCGACTGGTGCGAATTGAACGTGCCAGACTTCTGAAGGAAAGAGATGCTAACCGGCTGCCCTCCGGACCTCATCCTGATCGACGAATTTCGGGCTGTCGTCCAGCAGGACCTGGACAAACAGAAGCCGGCGGCCAACCTCGGCGCCTTGTCGTTACAGCTCAAAAGGGCATGATAAAAAATCCAGCCGTACTTACTGCACAACCTAGTTGCCAACATGCAAATTTGCGTTCGTATGCAAGTCCCTGTTCGTGGGGAAGAAACTGAACGCTAAAGAGAAACGCTGTCCCCTATGTAGTAACTTAGAGAGAACGTTTTTTTAGGATAAAACTCATGCCGGACCATGTAGCTCACGCATCATTCATTGCAGTTTCACCTTAGACTGCAAGACGTTGCAATTTGTTTAGGACATAGCAATTAATGTTGGCATGATCGGCATACCGCCGAGAACGGCACTATTTATATCATTATCTTAACGGTTGCATATTTCAACCTTCATAACTTTTAATTTCCTACTGTTTCATATAATTTCATTTATGGCGCTGAACAAGTGTTGAACAGTTCATTTCAATAACTGCATTCTTAAACCTCCGGTAGGGTTAACCATTAAACAATAGGTATATTAAGTGTTACTCTAGCCCCGCTCGCTATGTGTTCGCTTTATAATTCTATCAAACGTGATATCATTCCAAGAAAACACTAATAGTGTAGAATGTAGAAGCCATTCCCACTGATGGGACTCGAAGCGATGCAGCTAGGTAATGTAACTAAGGCTGATTGGCGAATTTCAGCTTGTAGACAAGACAAGGAAACGTTCTCAAAAATCAAATCCACACGTCACAAACATATTTCAAGAGCGCACGTATCTCGTTGTCGTTGTATCCGTTATTCCTCGTCGGACCTATCGGCTTTCTGAATACCGAGAGGGGTCTAGAGTGTGTGTGTGTGTGTGGGGGGGGGGGCGCCGCCGTTTCGCCCATTATTAAGCTAAAACCCTTGCACTCAGCGATTCACAATCAAGTTAAAAGTGTCAGATCAACATGTGACCTCTGAGGTCAGGTCACGTGCACAGTGCAGGGTGTTCATTAGCGAATGACGTAAAGTAGGCCCCCCTGGAGCCCCAAATGATCGCCGGCCATTGTGCAGACGAAGCCTTCGACGACTCACGGCAGCGTTCAGTTCATCAAGGGTTTTGGACTCTTGAGGTCGCTCCGCAATTTGAGTTGCTTGAGGTTAAACGGTGAAGTCCAAGCAGGAAAAATCCAGACTGCAGAGTGACCAGGGGTGCTGGGATCTTGTTCAGTTGCTCGAAGGTGAAGAGAGTCTAGCAATTCTTCAGTAATCTGTCCAGTATTCACGTCGCAATGGCTTCAGAAACCTGGGACGGCATTTTTAAATATATGGACTAGTGATGTCAATTACAGAAAGTCTTGATACCGATACCAAACCAAATACCAACAGGAACCGTGGGAAAATACCGAAACCGAACCGACTTGGGAATATCAGGGAAATGCCAACTTTTTACCAAAGTCACAGTCTCTTTTACAGAAGCGAGGATTCACAATACCAACGAAATACCAAATGTTTTAGCCTTGAAACGTCAAATACCAAGTTGGTATCGGTTTGGTATCGGTATGCCAAAAAAATTGGTATTTGATTGACATCTCTAATATGGACAATCCTCCACAAGAAGAAACTGAACTGGAAACATTATCGTCCGATCCTAATGACCGTCATCTCCCCTGACAGCATCGTGTCGAGGCTAAAAGCGTGCACCTTTTGGCTCACGGCTCAGTGAAGCGGAATAGTGGTTCGAAAGGGTGATATTGAGTGACGAAAAGTGGCTCGCGCTACAGCAAGCACCCGTAAGAATAATACAGGCTCATTCGCCGAAGAATCCACAAAAGTTGATTCCATACAAGGATGTGCACGGAGCGAAGGTCTTGGCCGAGGTCTGCTGCACGGAGAAGCAAGTTTTCTTCGAGCGATCAACTGATTTCTGTTTGTGCTATGTAAAATGTCTAAGATTAACGGTGAGCTGTTTATGTAATGTCTTACGCCTCTGGCGGGGCTGACTTTATGTCATCTTTTATTGATGACCCTGTAATTTAGAGGATAGCGCGTGGATGTTTAAATGCGGTTATCCCGCACCGTAGGCAGTGTTTACAATTGCTTCACGTGCAAAGAGATAAAATTATCAGATGTCGTGTAACTGATTTTTTAAACGTCTAGACGATTAACAAACTGTTAAACGTCTAGTAGACACTTCGTCTGGTCTGAAATATGTCGTATTTTTATATAAAATGTATTCTTTACCATTAAGCGCCCGAAAGATATCGGCTTTATGGATAAAATTATTTAACCGCTCGTAGGTAGAAAAATATTTTAAACGTCTCGCCTAACCGCTCGACGTTTAAAATATTTGTTCTACCTGCTCGCAGTTTAATATATAACCACCTTGTATTTCAGTTGGAACGGTAGTTAATATATATTAATCCGCGAGTAGGTAGAACACATTTTTAAAACGTCTAGCCGATAGGCGAGTCGTTTAAATATTTTTTTTCTACCTACGAGTGGTTTAATAATTTTATCCCGTACCGCTGGCATCTTTCGGTCACTTAAGTTAAAAAATACATTTTATGTAAAAATACGGCAAATTTCAGGCTAGACGAAATGTCTACTAGACATTTAACAGTTTGTTAAACGTCTACATAGACGTTTAACCAATGAGGTAAGCGACATCTGACAATTTTCTCTCTTTGCACGTGAAGCAATTGTAAACACTGTCTGGTGCGCGGGATAATGACAAAAAAACTCCAATATCTATGTAACGTCGTTTATGACGTTGCACATGGTTCACATCGCAAAAGTTGAGCATCGATCTTGCGAGGAGTGAAGCGACACGGGCACGACTCCATGATCAAACGATAGTCTTAAATCATTTTTTTTTTTTGTCATCAACATAAATTTTAATATTTCCCTTGTTGAATAATGATGGTGAGAGAGGTCACGTCATTGACCTAGCTTTACGTGAACTTCTAGAAATTACGAGACATAAAAGTTGCAAGGTCTTGGAAGGATATGAAGTCCTGTGAGTTTTATTTATCTGCAGAAGTTGACCTAGCAATGGCGGAGTTGCCAAGCCGCAATATTTTGGGACCGAGTGAAGTCTTTTATGACGTCATTGGTCAGTGACTCGACAAGAATCGAAGATGTAATTGGTCGCTGGTGTCACCAGAGAATCGGCTTGAATTCAATATAGTCAGGTGTCAGTGTGCTATTTTTCAGCTTTCAGGTTTCCTTGTTTAGAGCAATCGCAAGAAGTCTGGGGTAGGTAACACCCGTCACCCTCATCTATGGAAAGTTATGCTTTTGCGGAGCGACCTTCAACGCTAGCGCGCCCCATGCACTGTCGTGTTTTCAGCTTGCTGTCGGTTTTCCAATATATGGAAGCCAGTTACAGGCGTCTCTTAGTCTCTCATTGGTCAATCGCACACACCACGTGTGGTTCATCAACGACCAATGAGAAGATGAGAAACGCCAGCAAACTGACGGCATGCTGATTTGGTGATCAAACAGCGCCCTGACCACACCCCTCCCATCTATCGCTGACACCCTGCTCGGTAACTCCAAGGCCCTATGGTAACTCGTCTCGAGACGCGACTGAGCCAGGCCCTTCGACCGGTTACCGCCGCCGGCATAATTCCGCCTGATTCCGACTGCACCGCTGGACACCACACTGCGGCGAGCGACCCCGCTGTCAGACTCGGGCCGAACGCACCCCCTCCCCTACCCCCACTCCAGCTGTGGCGAGGGTGAGGGTATTCACCGCATCAAACCTACAGGCCGCCTGGACCCTTATCTTGAGACCAATAGTACATGAGTACACGGCTGAACGTCAAACTCAGTTGTATAGCGCAGTTCACCGAAATCTTGCTGCCTCAGAAACGGTATGAGTAGTAACTATTGCGTCATTTTCTACGCTCAGATGTATGGAGTCGGGAATGGAATGTATGGAAAAGCCGTAAAAGTTCCCATTATTGTTGCAGATTATCACATATTTAAGTTAAATGTTTCCTCTAATAGTGCTTTAAGTCTCCATATAATGCTCTGTAATTGGTTTTAGTATTTTCTGTCTCTAATCCGGCGATGCGGAATAAATTGCTGGTTGCAGCTGTCAATGTCTTTGTAAATATGATTTAGTTGTAGGTATGAGCTCCGGCACGCAGTGTTACTGGGCAGAGGCCGTCACTGACGCCCTGTTCTCCGACAGCTGCTCTCACTGCTGATGGACGGACTTACGGGCGCCATCCAGGACATGATGAAGAACGACTTCAAGTGCAGCTCGGGCAGCATGATGTACAGCATGAACCTGTGGGGAACCGTGTACACCGGCCTAGGTCAGCATCATTCGTTACCCACTCGTCATTGTACACCGGCCTAGGTCAGCATCATCCGTTACCCACTCGTCATTGACACTTTGTCATGTCATATAAGGAATAACTTGAGTTGTTGCTGAGTATCAACAACTGCCTCTTGAATTTGATCCAGAATTTACTTCCACCACCGCATTTTTGCGATACTATGGTCTCACGACCTCCACTATGAAGCTAAGGCATTTAGCATGGAGTTACAGTGCCTTTAGGTGTGAGCCTCTGGAAGCCCAAGATACGGTTTTGGAGGCGGCGGTGCCTCCTGAATTATCCAGTGCTCTCCAAATTTACTTGTGTCCGTTCCCGCAGTGTCCAGGTCCTCTGCGTTCACCCGTGTCCGTGTCCTACGCTTTCACCGGTGTCCGTGTCCCCTGAACTCACCTCTGTGTTCTCTGCCGCAGCTGTGGTGATGACCGGCGAGCTGCTAGGTTTCCTCAGCTTCGTGCAGCGCCACCCGTCAGTGCTGGGACAGCTGGCCAGCCTCTCGGTAGCCTCCGCTCTAGGACAGGTGAGTGCGGCTGACGACCTGTTGTGGTCGATATTTTAGGGAGGGTGTATGCTAATGTAGCACATGTATGTAGGCTATCAAATGTCCTGTTGTCTGGGTGCGCTTTAAGTAGGGAAGTTGTCTGGCCTCAGCTGCATAAATGTTCTGCCATAAATATTAGCAATCGAATTGGAGGTTCGGAAGGTTTTTGGAAGATCCGATACTTGCTTGGTAACCTTCGCATTCTGGACGGTCGACAACTATCGGGTGTCCGTGCTCTTTCAGTGCGCAGTGCGCACCCCATATTGTCTACGTCTTATGGATGGGTGTCACCGATTGTGCCGACTGTGTGTGATCTGATTAGATATCACCGACTGTGTGTACTGCGTGTGCTCTTTCGCTAGCTATGTGTGCTCCGTGTGTTCTGTCGCTGATAGTGTGTTGTTGCACTTTGTGTCCTCTTTTCACCGGCTATGTGTGTTCTGACTTCCCATCCGTTTTTCCGCGGCAGTACTTTATCTTTATGACGATCAGCGAGTTCGGCCCGCTGCCGTGCTCCATCATCACCACGACGCGGAAGTTTTTCACCGTGCTCGGCTCAGTGTTCCTGCTGGGGAACACGCTCACCAGCCGACAGTGGCTCGGGGCCGTGGCCGTCTTCACAGGTGGGTGCCGCTGGCTGCGCGGGGGCGTGTCGTCGACCCCATCGCCCAGGAGGGTCTATCAAGAACACACACTACACGTCCCCCATATCCCTGCTCAGATCGGAACGTGCACCGGCCTGATATTACATATATCTCGTTGATGAGTGATTCATGTTAGGAATTTCTTATTTTCTTGCATCCGATTTTGATCTATACAATCTTGACTGGTTTGAAGCCGAAAATACTCTGGCTTCATAGAATCTGTGTGTTATTCACAGCTGTTCCATAGCATTGTTTCAGGTATTGACACTTATTTCTAGTTAGTATGTTTCGTGGTACCTATCATGCTGCTCCATCGTTTTTTTTTTCTAAATTTGCTAATTGCGTCGTCATGATGTTTAATCTTCTCAGTACCTGCCTACACTCATCTGATAATTGCAATTATACAATAATCAATTTATTAGATTGAATAGTGTTACTGGTGCTCTTTTAGTGACTTTTGGTGACACTTGCAGGTCTCATCTTGGATAGCGTTTACGGCAAAACGCCTGCATCGAAACCGGTCACAAACGGCAAGGCCAAGACTGATCTCTAGTGAGGCGCCGGCGCGATGTAGCGAGCTCGCGCGCTGCTGAATAGATATACCCACAGTCCTATTTATTGTTGTCCGTGTTGTCGCGCAATTTCTGGTCATTGTAACCTCTGATGAGGCGGCTGATACCTCTAAACTTCTGACACGTTGAAGTATGCTGGGTTTTGTTGCTTTAGTTTTATTCATTCAAATGAAATTCAATGTTATTTGATATGACACGCTGACACCTGACATGCTGTTCTCAAAATTCACAGCAGTACAAACGTTAGTAAAAGCATGTCTTCAGAAGACTTATAAATTATAACGCACAGTGTGGTGGCATGTTGTTTCTTAGGAAAGACGCGGCTGGGTTTTTCGGGTGTGGCTGGGGTAGTTGTTGTAGTTTTTTAGTAGCTTTGGTATCACCTGTGGTATTTATCGATCGTTGAACACGTGTTATGGTTGCGCCGTGGTTCAGGACGCACTTGCCACTTGTGCCGTAGGTGAACAGTGTGAGACAAATAGCACCCTGCCTCCCCCCCACCCCCACCCCATCGCAGGGTTTCTGCTCCTTACGACCAAGTGACCTTGCACAAAGTGCATGTGATCGAGTATCGACACGCTCGGGACGGATATTCGCTCTTCTCTGCTGAAATGTGAAAGGCCCAGCATCTCTCAATTTGCCTTTCTCTGCGTTTATTGTTTTCCTTTGAGGTCATAAAATTGAGCCTAATGGGTTCCAAACATTTTCCACATTAGTAACATCTGCCGTCGGGAGAAAAACCTTGTACCTGGATAAGTTTTTTTTTTGCTGAACTTTCCATGAAGGTAAAAAAGACTTATTATTCACACTGGCTATATATGTGTCCTCCAACAATTGAAGTTGCTTCACACCCTGGAGGGTGGAAAAACAATGAAATTAATGAGTCTGGTTACATGATACTGTTACTATTCGGTGACGTCTGTCGTTCAAATGCATTAAGTGAAACATTGGTGTATTTTCACGGCAATCGAAGCAATGGCGAAATACTCTCCATGCCCAGCTCGATAGAAGAGAAGGAAAATATAATATGCCACTTCACAGAGTAGAAATAAAGTATATTTTGTACTTTCCGATAAGCAATGTTAATTGCGAAAACAATTTAATCACTACTGTGCTCATAATAAACAATTGATTGCTCCTGTGCGCCTTGGGTCCACTCATCCTTTTTCTCCTAACTTTTCTTTCAGCTGAGGGGCTGCAGACCCCCGGAGGCCCTCCTGGAAGAGGCACCTATGGGGTGGCAGCAGCGAGAGGAGATGCCGCTTTAGCTGGAGAAGTTTCGCTTTGTTCACTCCTCTGATTGAGACTTCGACTTTGGCTGCCCATCTGTTGCGTCCATTCCCGCTAGACCCTCATGCCAGAGAATGGAGACTGGCCTCGACGCTTCTCCCGCCATCCACAACGTTTGCTCACTGTAGACAGTGTCTCGTTATAGACAACGAGACGTGAGGTGAAGATGCACTATTTGTGTGGTAGTTGAGGAAGGAGGAATATTTGCATCATGTCCCCGGACACAACACGTTCGCCGTCGTCCCATAGGAACTCCTTCGCCATTTATCTGAAGACTATATGCCGCACACTGTGAGCACTCTTCTGAGCCCAGCTTTGTGAATCCAATGTTCATCCGTTCCATTGTCTACCGGTAAGTCGTCTCGGAGCGCATGCCTCTGCCTCAGGTTTGTTCGCAATGTCGAAACAGAATAACAGTGCTTAGGTCCGCTTGGAGATGTCTCGGCGGCTTGGTGCATGAAGATAGCGATTGTGAGGTGCCACAGATTTCAAGGACATGGTTTGCTGCTTTATGATATCTTCCTCAACCCTCGCTTGTCCGCTGAAGCTGTCGCATCTGCCGCGATGCTTCTCTACACTGGCTTATCGTTGCCCGTCTTAAAACCAAGCGCGCTAAGGAAGAGTTCCTTGCATACTCGAACATTTTCAGAGCCCACTGGTAGACATCACTGTAGGGAACGTTTTCGGCTCTTTCGTCCCCGTTCAGAAACACCGCTGTCTTCTGTGATAAATCGCCGCTACCACTTTGGGCTGGCTGTTCTTGGCAGATTGTTGACCCTCCCACTGATTTGACGTCGCTCAGCCTCTGAGATGCCACCTCCGCACTGCAGATTTCATCGACCTGCCATGCAGTCGCCAGGGACGGGAAACAACTGATGCTTTGTAGCTAACCCCTTCGTTGATCCTCCTGTGTTCTTGCGCGCTGCACTTTGGCGAGAGCGGTTTCAGGAGCTGCTTCGGTAAAGTGCAGCCTTACATGGTCCCAGACTACTTCGAGCACTTGGCAATAAGGTACCTAGTAGATTTTGGCTATTCCGTTCAGGAGATGATCATTGCTCAAGTCATGTTCTGCAAACAGATACGGATTTTTCTAACGAAAAAGGTGGTTTGCTCCCATTTTGCAGGCCGTCGTGCGGTATTGAATCCAAACGAGATACGGCTTTATTCCTGACGCAATAGAATCAACTTATAAGTTTTATCGCCTCAAAGTTACATATGCCGTATTGGCACTTCCGACTTTCTTCCTGCGAAGTGGGCTTATACCGTAATAATATTTTTGTTTGGTTAAGCATAGCATAGATACAGAGTTGAGAGATTGGATAATGATGTAAATAATAAACCAATTAGTACAAATCAAATATATTCAAAAACACACATTTTGGTTTTGTGATCGTGTGGTTTTGAATATATTTGATTTGTATACTAATTGGATTATTATTTACATCATTATCCAATAGGTACATAGGTTTGGCCACTGGCATTGAATGCATCGTGGAAGGAGCTTTCCAAGTTCCAACAATATCAAAAACGAAGAATCGATAAAAAATGACTCAGGTACGGGTACGGCTTTCTTTCCTCCCGACGGCGGATGTATTGTAGCAAACAAGGTGCCTACAAGCCTCTAGGCGTCCCTTATTCTGTTTCTTTTTATTTCTATTTGGCTCTGTATTGCTCTGCTGATTTGGATCGGCGCATTTTTATAACAGTTTCGAGCGATCACGATTCTGTGCTGGGGTAGTTTCCAAGTGTTGCTGCGAACTGCGAAGCACTGGTACCTAGTGTTTGGGGTGGGATTGACTGTAATACGTGATATGTCCTAATCACGGCTTGAGAATCAGCGTTAAAACATGATCGTAAATATAATTCATTGCTGTTCTACGGCGCATTCTCTATTGCTTGCTGAATCTTCTTCATACTTTTTGTGACGTTTGCCATTGGCAGCGATAAAATTTATCCAGGGCTGGCAGCCATGCATATGTATTGTGTGTGCTGTGACGCCTGTGTCTTTTAGATCACTATATCTGATCACGATGCCAAACAAAGATAGGATGCTGTTTTGACTTCTATATTCTGGAGCTACTTAGTCAGTGAATCTAATGGGCCATATGTGTGAGCCATAGTCGATTTATAATTCTATACCTAAATGCTCAGAAAGTAGAAGTAGGTAATCCATAAAATCGGGATAGATAATTTGTCATACGAGAATTACGACGCGCAGCGATGTCAGATTTGATCGTACTTCACCAAGCCAGCTGGCGTTTTGAGATCGATAACGCATCTAGTTCTGTCTAGCGTAACTTGAATCTCTATTCAGTTTTTAACTGTTTCCTTGCTCCCAACTTGTCCCTACCCTTCATAAACCTTGCCTTCAGCTTTTGTTTTGTTGATTGTTACTTATTTATGTTGATGAATAGGTTTTGACGAAAATATATGGTGAAATTGGTGCTGAATTGTTGACTGACGAGTTACGAGGTTCAACACGAAAACGACAGTAGGAAAAACAGCTACGCCAAACACACATTGAACCGCCAACTGCACGCCAACGCATTATTATCAACCAAATACAGCTTCACATGGCGATACAGCCCTGTCCGTCCATCAGTTCTGTTCTGCAATATGAGGCGTACCTATGGGCTGCGCTGGTTACCTCACCGGTCTCACCGTGACTCGAGGCGTTTAAGTGCTGCTTTCACACAGCCATGCACTTGTTCATACGGACCAATCCCTTCGTAGTCCTTCAGAAGAAACCCCTTTGCTTTCCGTTCAGCACTTTCATGTTCAGGACCCACCCAGAAAGAGCAGTCTTTTGGGTTTCCAAGTACCTAATCGCTTTAGACACTTAACGAGTATAGCGCCGAAAAGGAGCGATAGGCCGATAGGCGATACTTATGTGATAGTAGGCGGATTCTGGCCGCTGTGGTCGTGATACTGCCGTAGCCGCCTGTGTCTTCAAACCAATATTCTATCGCCTGAGATTTGAGAATAATGGAGTATAGTGCTACCTCAACCTCACATAGACACAAGTGACGAAGTTGCGGCTCTCGCTTCTGGGAGGACGGGCGACAACCATTCCGTCGATTTTAGTAGGCAGAGGGTTCCTTCCATCCAAAAAGAGTCACTCCGATCACCGATGATTGTAGTATACGACTAATACGTTCGTATTCGTCAATGTTTACGACCGTGGGTTTCGACGGCGTATATTCGGATGCAGTATGAGTAGAGCATGGGTCCCGAAAAATTCTTCAGAAACTAGAGAAATTCTCGCGGCCACCGGCATTTAGGCGATCTGCTCGTGCTTTTGTCACTGGAGCGCTTCTTTCACGGAGATTGCGCCGGCCGCCTGCAACGGACGAAAAATACACGGCTTTGCAATCCGGATCGTGGGAAAATACAGCCGGAGGTCTCGGCTCTATGCAGGTATACCACCGGGAGAGATGTATTTATTGTATAGTATATACCACTGGCTCGATGTATAGCCTGCAAGTTGGCTTTGGTGCAAACATGTCAAACAGGGTATAGGGCGGATCGATGTAAGCAAATCAGACGTTCAATTGACAATTTCCGATTCTTATTCGATAATTACGACCAATTATATTTTATTTTGGGAAGTGTTATTGGGACCGGAGCAATAAAATCTCATTTTCCCCTGTCTCCTTACCTATCTCCCAAACCCCTTGCTCACGATCATCTTTCCTCTCTTTAGGTATCAGTCTCCTTCCCGTCCTCCCCGAGTCTCTGACAAGTAATATCCATATCTCTAAGTCTTTTCCTTCATCTGATCCTCCTTTCTCTCACTACCCTTCTCTCTCTCTTTCTCTCTCTCTCTCTCTCTCTCTCTCTCTCTCTCTCTCTCTCTCTCTCTCTCTCTCTCTCTCTCTCTCTCTCTCTCTCTCTCTCTCTCTCTCTCTCTCTCTCTCTCTCTCTCTCTTCCGTCCGTCCGTCATCAGTCTCTTCGTCCGTCCAATGTCCATTCGTCTCTCCGTCCGTCCGTCCGTCTCTCCGGAGGTGCAACTTTTCCCAAATAGTTCTTGGAACGTCACACAGTATATCGAACCCACATATTACATAGAAGTGCAACTTTTTCAGGTCCCACGTTCACCACGTCCAACGTTCTAACAGGTCCCAATTTTCCTGCCTTTTGGGTCATTGACCTGACCTGGAAGGCCAACCGATGACCTAGGACCTTAAAATTGGGTATCATCGGCTTCCTCTCGTCACGGGCAACACGCTGTTTTTTTCCGCGAAGCTCTAGCTTGATCAGGAGCGAAACGGCAAGGGGTTATACCTTATACGTTCGCAGCTGGATAAAAACACCTATACGGGCGAGGGTCAAGTTGAAAGTATTAATTTGGTTCAAAACGATGATGCAGATAAGTTAGTTATTTAAATCTAAATCAGTGGCGGCGGAATAGGGGGTGCAGGGGGTGCAGCTGCACCCCCATCGACAAACATGGGGGTGCAAACATATATTTTTGCACCCCCAAAATCCGTACAAGGGGCCCGTCGCACAATCCAATACATTTTCTCCTGAAAACCAGTGATCGAGAAACGAACACTGATGTGGAATCATCCGGGATGTCCAATTATGGTTAGGAGCGCCCCATGCTAGTCTTTGGGGCCCCCACACCGACTAGAAGTGTTCCGAGCCGCGTTTGGTGCTCCATGCGGCATCTGAGGGCCCCCACGACGGCCTCAGAGGGCCCTTTTATGACGATCTCTGAGGGCTCCCACGACGACCTCTGTCCCCTGGGGCCCTACAACGGCCACTTAGGGCCCTCATGACGACCGCTGAGGGTCTCACAGAGACTCTAGGGCCCCAAGGAGACTCCAGAGGCCACGCTGGCCTCTGAGGGCCCTATGACGGCCTCTGAGGGCCCCATGACGGCACGGCCTCTGAGGGCCCTTACGATCTCTGAGGGCTCTCACAAAGTCAAAGTCAAAGTCAAAGTCATTTATTAAAGACACGTCCACGATGTGGTTATTATGTGTCCAGTCAATGGAACATAATACAGCATTAAAATTGACACCCACCGCTCAGGTACACATATATGCATTTTATCATGACACGTAAGCTGCGAATAGCTGAGGATGAATGCGATGAAGGGTAAAAAGTTGAGTTTAGAGTGCTGCGTAAATAAAGTTAAAAGCGTGGAAATATATAAAAGTGATTCACTGACGAGGGGCACGCGACAAAGCTCTGGTAAAGGCAGCGCGGCTAGGCGCTTGTCTTGTCTGTGAATCCAATTTGTTCCATGCACTGGCAGCCCGGTAACAAAAACAGTGCTGAGACCGAGCGAGGCGTCGCTTTGGCAGCTCTAGAAGTCCCGCCGTTACCGCTCGCGTCATCCGCTCGGACACACTCCCTCGAGGGACAAACATTGCACGGAGCGACTCGGGACAGACCGTGGAGTTAAGCGCTCTGTACACGTGCATACAGTCATGATCCCTCACCCAGTCGTGCACTCTGCCCCATCCTAGTGATTCAAGGGCTGGTGCGATGTGCTCGTGGCGTCGTACACCAGTGACCAATCTCGCTGCGAAATTTATACATTTCTGGATACGGTGCATGTGGACCTTGGCAGCTCCTCCCCAAACGGATAGGCAGTATTGGATGTGGGGAAATATGTGATGCTGGACGAGGAGTTTCAGGATGTCTCTGGAAAGAAAGTGACGGATTTTGTGCAGGGATGCTGTGATGTGATTGCATCTCTGCACATTCACAACCATGGAAATGTGGGATTCCCATGAGAGGCACTGGTCGAGAACAACGCCCAGAACTGTAACGGTCGGACTGGGGGTGATTTTTGAGCCAGAGAAGTCGATATGGAAGTTGGCTGTCTTTTTTATGGAATCTCTGGTACCAAGCAAGATGAAGTGAGTTTTGTCAGCATTCATTTTCAGACTGTTCGCAGAGAACCAATTTTTAAGCTCGTTCAGGGAAACCTCGACCCGTGCCTTCAGAGCAGATAACCCGGTGACGTCAGGAGGGGAGTGGTCAAGGATCTGGGTATCATCGGCGTAGGATAGGATGCGGCCATGAGGAAGGAAGCAAGGGAGATCGTTGATGAAGACAAGGAAGAGGATGGGCCCTAGGATGGACCCTTGGGCCACTCCATGGGTCAAGGAGAGGATGGATGAGCCGCCAGTCACTGTCTGCTTGCGATCGCACAAGTAGCTTCTGAACCACTCAGTTGATCGAACGCCGTACCAACCAAGTTTGGATACGAGGACACCGTGATCGACGCTGTCAAATGCCTTACTTAAGTCAATCGTCGTTACCGATGCCAGTTTGCCGCGATCTATCTGCTGAGATATCCACTCGACAGCATCGATCACGGCGTCCTCGGTACAATGGTGGGGCCTGTAGGCATACTGCTGTGGTGAGATTATGTAATTGTCTAGCAAGTAAGACATAAGCTGCATTGCGATAACCTTTTCCATGATTTTCGAGAACGCAGACAAAATGGAAATTGGGCGATAGTTGTTCACACTTGAGCGGTCGCCAGACTTAAAAACAGGGGTGACACGAGCTACCTTCCATGCGGACGGAAACGTCTGAGTGGTAATAGAACGGTTTACAACATGGAGAAAATGGGGACCAATGACAGCAAAACACTTTTTGATCGCATGCAAGGGAGCTTCGTCCACGCCGACGGCACCCGACGAGCCCAGTCGACCCATCGCATCGGATAACTCGGCGAGTGTCACCGGGTGAAGGTCGAGCGCGGCCGCACACACTCTGGCCGGCCGGGGCCTGTAGGTGGCGCCCCGGTCGCGTGCCGCCTCAGCCGCGGCCGCCACCTTCGATCCGACCGCCGCGAAATGTACATTAAACTCGTCGGCTCTCACCATGACATCGCTGCTAGATGATGTTGATTCACCATCACCTATCCGTGCTTCTATCCTCAGGAAACAGAAATCTTTCTCCTCCACGCCGCAACCCCCCTCCGGGCTGGACAGGCAACTTTATCTCATGCGGGCTGCTCCCTTGGAGCGGCACCGCTGCTCCTGAGGGAGCGCACCCCGTAGCCGGGTGCAGTGAGTGCTTTGGGGCTGGGTGGCCTGTCCTCTGGACGGGCTCAGCCCCGGCGACTCACTAGGGTGCCTGCCCAGACCAATGTCTCCCCCTAATTCCTATCATCCTTCCGGCTCTGCAATGGTCTTGTCAACCGAAAGGGCCTAACCCAACAAAACAAACAAACAATGTTGATTCACAGGCTAAGGTGATCGTTAACTTGCTTCGGCAGTTGGCATTTCACGGGTTTGTTTTGAGAGCTCTCCTACGCGCGTCCCCACCCCTCACATCCAACCTTTGACCAGTTGTTCCACCCACTCTCCTTCACTGCCCACAACCGCATCCAGTTGCCCCACGATGGGGAAGCGGCGCCGTCAGCGCCCGCTATCCGACTCCTTATCCGATTCCGACTCTGACTCCCCTCTGAA